ATCAGGGAGATTTCAGTGTGCTGGAAGGTGAAGATCTCAATAGCTGCAGAGTTTGACACCTCGATGAACACCAGGATGATAAAATGGAGAGGGGAGATGCTAGGAGAGAACCAGGACTCTTTAGTGAGAGAACACACTGACCCACCATGAGCTTGGATGTCACAGTTCAAACATCCCCTGAAATTTGTCATGAAACAAATAACTCAATGACTATGCTGACAGAGCAGTAGTTCTGCATAGAGATTTTTTGCTTTTTTCCTCACAAGTTCAAACCAATTTGTTTTTCAGGTATTTTAAAGTATCTTTATTTTCTAAGTATCTAATTTTCTCAAGTCTGCAGCTTGTAGCTGTTATATTCACAGGCCAATCTTTGATCTTACTCTTTCTCAGGAATCGTCTTCCAGGAACTGCTGGGATAGGGGATAGGCTACAGGGAGCTTTCTCTAACCCTTGTCTGAAGGGTCACTGGAAAGTCACTTCTCAGTCATATCAAATGAGACCTCCTGGCACAAAATGATGACAATCACAATGAATGACAAAAGACCAGAAGCTGGAGGAAAAATTAAAGAGAATATAATAGGAAGAAACAAAGTAAACAAAAGCATATACTCTATTTTCTTCAAACTTTTGTTTTCAATGGTCATATAAAAACCACTTGTGTAGTAGAAAAACAATACTGTGGAAGGAATCAGAAGAATACAGAAGGATAAGAATATGATGCACAGGTTAGGAAAGCAACAGCACAGATTGAATACATATAGAGTATGAGATTTGAGTATGATTAGTTTTAGGAGTGATTGTCATCCAGAGCTACCAATGAAACTCTTGAGGGTGCAGTTTAAAAATCAAAAGTGTGCCTTTGAAAATTGCCTAATAAACATGCACTGTGAGCACTTACATACACAAAAGGAACATTCTGGTTCTTCTTCAGCACCCTAAGAGACAGAAACCTAGAGTTCACATGTGTGAGGATCAGGAAGTTTCTTGACTGTGTCTTGTCTGTCTGCAGTACAAAAGCATTGCCAGACTAAAATACTGAAAGGTATTGTGGCCATACTGCTTCCCTGAGTAAAGTGAAAGCTTCACTGTTAAATGAGTGTTCCCCATCACATGCAGTTCACAATCTGTTTATTGTCTTCAGCCAGGGCACAGGCTCTCTATGTTTCTTCCTAAGAGACAGAAAGAACCCATTCTGGTCTTGCTCTTAAGATCTGGACTGAACTGTCCTCCATCTCTGCCCTCAGATATCCCCAAACACACCTCCTAAGCCAATGGAACTGCACTTTTTTTTTTTCCCTTGACTGTCTCCACATTTCATTCTTTATGGGGAAAGAGAGGAGAGTTTCGCACACTTTCCTCTTTCCCTGAGCCGACAACCCCGAGAGAGTACAGAATGTTTCTGGCCAAGCTGTGACATGGTATCAAGAGACAAACAAAAGCTAAATCTGGCCACTGTTGGGAAGCCCTTAACCACACACAGCTGCAGTAAGGAACAGAGGCAGGCATAGCTGAATTGACATCAACTGCTCATTAAACAAGCCATGACCAACAGATGGGAACACTGCTTTATTATGATCGCCTTCTCCAAATGCTGAATGAACTAGATGGAAAACAAGACTGCAAAATGAGTGGGTGCTAAAAATGGGAAATCCTACTGCAGGAAATCAGCCAATCCACTAGAATGCCAGGTGCTACAGCTGCTCCACTCTTGAACTCAATTCAGACAAACTGCATTTGCCACCGAAAAGGATAGAAAATGTTCATTTTCAAAGGTCTCCCAACTACCCCACATTGGCAGTTAAAGTAATTATCAGCATAATTGCTTCAAGTCACAGCTCATTATAAATGAAAAAGGAAATTTTGGCTCTGATAGCTATTATTTGCTAATGCATCAGGCAATGCACTGTATTACTGTGTATCACACCTGTATTTCACTCCAAATTTTTATCTTTTTTTTTTTTTACTAGATACACATTTTAGAAAATTGACAAGGAAGTTATGTGGAATAAACATTAGGCATTATAGAACAGAGAGAAAACTAGAAAGGCAGAAGAATTTTTCTACAGAAAGAGATACATTGTTTTGTTGCACCTACAAAACAATTATTTCAATAACCAAGGACAAGGTTAAGTGTCAATGGTCTTGCTACATCAAATAGTATTATTTGAGTTACTAAGACAAAGAATCACTAGACAACAGTCAGCAGGAATTTGCCAGGCTTTCATTTACTCTCTTATAAACTCAGAGCTAACTAACACAGTAAGAGTGGCAAGCATACACATCAAAATAATAACGTGTCAAAACAGCAGTTCTGGAAGAAATAAAGCAGAATTCACTTCAACACAACAATGAAGTTAATATATGGTAAATAACTAACACAATTATTTCATCTTTATTCACTTCTGTTTTTACTGTTTCCACAAGTGGGACCAACAGGAAAGGGCTGTTGATTCCTCTTAACAATCAGAAATATTTTAGCTGAGGATAAATCAAACTACAAACAGTCCAAATTCTCTTAATTCATATAGGGCCCACAGCTCTGTGGAAATATAAGGCTTTATGGGAATGCAAGGCTTCATCAACCACCTATAAAAGAGCCATGTAACTGAATCTACATTAGCCTGGAGAGCACAAAAATCCATCTTGGTATTTGGCAATGCTCATTCAAGTTTAGGAGAACTTACCTCCTCGCATAACCAATGAAAGTACATGTGAAGGCAGCAGAAACATAGGTAGAAATGTTGATTAACACATCAAATAGTTATAAAACATAGCCCAGTCAGATTATTAAATATATATGTGTATATATGAAGAAAATGACTTTACTTCAGTCAAACAGATCAGGACTATAGAGCTTTTTCAGAAGTTAAAACAGATCCAAATTATCTAGGTATTTTATATGACAAGGAAAAGAATATGTGGGAGGAATATACATCTTTCAGAAAAACCCAGTTTACCAGACTGCTTTTAGAAATCTAAAAAAAAATAAGCATAACCTTGTTCCTGTAAAAGATATGTAACTACAAAAGTTGTTAATATTACAGCTATTCAAAACATTTCTCTGAGATGCAGACTATTTTTAAAAATCTGCCTTTGTTAAAAACAATCCAGAAATAATGAAGTAATGAAAACAACTTCTAGGAAAACATGGAAAGGGATCACTCTGATGAACATTGGTGTGTCTAGCATATGAAAGGCAATATTTGAGACTTCAGAGTGATACAGGGGTCTAAACAGGAAAACAGGGTATTTCACCTCACTTGTGTAGTTTAGGCTCCTGACTTGAATATCCAGCCTTATTTCAGCACTACAAAAACTCCATGAAGGGAAAGTCCATTGTTAGATACCTGATATTTTTAATACCTGGTCCATAGAGACTAACTGAATAATTCATTAGAATGGCAGGGCTTTCCACTCCTCATCCATGTTATTTAACACCTACCCACATCAATGTAATCAAATATGACAACTTCTAAGGAAAAATGTTAACCTGCACAGGGGAATCTCACAGATCTGGTGCTCAACACATATCAAACTGCCAAGCAATAAGTGTAAACTAATAGTTCATACTTGACTGGAAGTTAAGACAGAAGGAAATAAACAATGCCAGGCAAATTTGTTTTCTTTATTCTCTTCATCTTTAAAATGAAATCAGCATTTACATAGTTCAAAGAGTGTATAGCAGGGGTCAGGCAGCACATTTGATATAACTCACAAAATTATATACACAGAGTGCTGTGAAACATTTGCATAGTATGAAAATGGAGCAACTATATACACTCAAAGAGGATAAATACACAGTCACATAGAGGGATTGGAAGAAGAGATATCTATGAAACCATGTGAGGATGACCATATAGTGTTACTTAACATCTTTATAGCTCTGACTTTTCCCTTTCTCATAAAACACAGAAGGATATGTAAATTGAAATAAATTTTAGAAAAAAAACTCCCCTTACTCAATATTTATGGTATCACAAGAAGAGGACAAGGTACTTTCTTCAGCATGTCCAACCTGTGTATTGAAGCCTTGTTAGAATACTATGAGATTATTTTCTAAGTCTAGGAAGCATTAAAATACATAGATAACCATTGCTCTCATGTAATCTTTCCTCCAAGCTGCAGGGAATCAGTTACAGGGCTTGCTGATCACATTAGGATTATTTCACATTTCCTCAGCATCTGCATCTCGAAATGTCCAAGAGGAAGGCATCTGAGATAACTGAGCATTTCCAGTCACATAGCCCTACCTTTGGAAACCATGGTTTCTAACTGGACAAGCCCAATACCTTTCTCTCATATAATTCTGATCAGGCCACTCTTAAAATGCCCATTATATAATTATAATTATAATATATAATATATAATATAATTATATAATGGGCACCATAATACCCACTATAAGCAATGCAAATGGAATTTGCAGGCAATCTTTAAAGGATGAGTGAGAACACAGAAGGAACATTCAGATGAGTCAAATCAAGTTGATTGAAAACAAGATGATTGAGTGAATTTATAACCCATAACTTCTGGACATAAATAAATAATGAGGATGTTGAAAACATTTAATAGGGTACAAGGAGGTATACCTAGCAAGTATGGATAAAAACCCTGTTATCTTTCCACTGACAGTAGGATCTTGTAAATGAAGAGCTGACTGATATGTAATGGCAAGCCTACAGTAGCCCAGTCTCTGCTTCAGAGTGACAGGGAGTACAGGTACTGCTGTCAGCTTTAACTGAGCCAGCTCATACACCAAAAGCAATTTAACCTCTGAAGCACTGAGCTACAGGTGCAATAATTTAATACCCACAATATAGACATAACTTTTATCTAAGAAAGAGCAAGCAGTAGAGGGACTGGACTATATACTCTGCTTACAAGCAGGTACTAAGGTTTGGTGTTACTGTATCCTCACTGCTACTACAACTGTTAGAGAAATTAAGGTGGCATATGCTGGAATGTGCTTTATTTATTTCTTGCCATTGCTGAGAAAACACATGCTGAGAAAGTGTCAAGAACAGTTTCTAAAGAAGGTGAAAGAATTTCATCATATATGACATGGGAAACCTAACTTGGCTAACACCCAGAAATGCAGAAACCTGTTTGTTTGTGTGGGGAATAGCTAAAGGCCCATCACAAATGCTTAATTCCTAATACTTTTTCAGAGCTACATCTTTACCTCTAAGTTCTTCCTTATTGCTAGACAGTGAATTTCTTCCTCTCTGTTTTACTTCACTTCTGGAGACAAAAGATTATCAAAGTCTGACATCATCTCCCTGGGATGCCTTTTGTCTACTGTTGTCCTCTTCTTTTTCTCTTTTCCCCTCTTTTCTTTCACAGTACTTTTCTTTGCTTCTTCTCCTCCTTCATCTTCCACAGGCGGGCGAGGGCAGGGCTTTGTAGTCTCACCATCTTGGCTGGAAAATCAGAAAAGGAAATCCATAAAGCTAAAAGCACATATCCCATAAAGCCTCTTTTAGAAGATATAGATTTCACCTTTTTCCACATCTTACAGTACTGACAAGAGAAGGACTTCTCACATTCTTGACCATTTGACAGAGCTATAAATGTCCTACAATACAGTTTCCCTTTTACTAATAGAATAAGTGAAGGATAGCCTAAAACAGGGCTCTGGCCCTTAATCGTATCTGCCTCTTAGGACTCCAGAAAGGACGTGGGCAAAAAGGACCCTTTTGCTGTATGGGTCCAGATCACACAGTCTTTCACTTTGCATATAGGACTTGTTAGCTACATTTTCAGAGTGCTTGTTCTGCCACAATTATTTCTTTCCACAGTCAAGGCAGGAAAGTGCCCCAAACAGATACTAATATCTCATATTAAAATCGTAAGAGCTATATTAGTACCTCTAAAGCTTAGTCAATTAAGCATAACTCCTAATACACACCACAAAAACATTAAAAGACAATCCCAAAAAACTCAGAGCTGGAGTTAGCCAGGCCATTGTGATACATTGTAATACATCTGTGGGCACTGAGGACTTCCTGTCAACATAGGAACCTGAGAAGTGTCTTTTAATTTTTTTCCCTTACTACTCCAGCATTTAGCACAAAGGGTTTATCTCTTTTTGAGGTTTTAATATATTGCATTCAGAATTTTTTATTCCTTTCAAATTAAATTGTGCTTCTGCATTATTATCAACAATGTCAGCAGTTTCTCATTAGATCTGTGCATACCCATGTGTGCAGTGTCCCCGTCTAAGTAGAACGTAGGAGGTAGGGATTTATTTTAGAAATATAATAAATAACAACTTTCATTGGAAAGCACACTTCCATGCCCTTGTAAAAGGTAGGGGTTCTAATGAAATTCCATTTAGTGCATTCATTTCAGTTAATTCTCCAAAGAATTCCTCTGTTTGCCAGTGCATAACTCAATTTTCTCCTCATTTATACATAAAAATGGCAATTCAGCTTGCTAATAAATTCTCTTTGGAGAGTGAATATTTTTACTAAAGCACTCATTCGTGAAAGAAAGCATGTAGAATGGACACTATTCTTATTGTTTATGCATTTAATCACATCTTTTCTTAATATGGTACTTCATTTAGAATACAATCCAACTCAGTGGAAGGGAAAAACTTCTGCTGATTTTGCTGGAACTCAGACCAGTTATATACCTGCCTCTTTTCAACTGGTTGTATGCATTAAGAAGGAAACCACAGTCTTCAGGTTTGCTTTTTGGTGAGAAGAGGCTACTGTCATATCAATGATATAGCCTGGGAAAAGGCATTTATGTATTCCCAGATTTGGAATTCTGCTCAGTAAAAACAGGGCATTCATTTGTTTGTGTGCTGTGGCTGCAAGCACACAAACAAATATATAGTTTGACTTTCAAACTATACTGGGATCACTACTAGAAAATATGTGGGAATCACAGGACTTGAATCTCAGTTGCTTTTCACTCCATCATTCTCAGTGAATCCAAAGATCAGTCCACAACTGGTACCCTCACACATAATTTTTAGATGAAATCTTTAATGATGATAATCATATTAGAACATTTCAATGAAAATTAAGAACATCTGTGGGTGACCAAGCACTGCAGCAGGTTTCCCAGAGAGAGTGTACAGTCTCCTCACTGGAGATACTCAACCATTTTGATGCAATCATCTGCCATGTGCTCTGAGATAACCCTGCTTGAGCAGATGACCCACTGTGGTGCCTTACAATCTGACCCATCCCATGATTCTGTGATCTAAAATTGCCTTGAATGGTGGCATTTATTTCTCTCCACAACTACCAGAAAGGAAGGTGTAGCCAGGTGGGGGTCGGTCTCTTCTCCCAGGTAACCAGCAAGGACAAGAGGACACAGCCTCCAGCAGCAGCAGGAGAAGGTTTAGGCAGAACATTAGGAAGAAGTTCTCCACAGAAAGAGTGACTGGGCATTGGAATGGCTGCCCAGGGAGGTGGTGGAGTCACCATCCCTGGAGGTGTTTAAGAAAGGACTGGATGTGGCACTCAGTGCCATGGTCTAATTGAAAAGGTGGTGCTGGGTCATAGGCTGGACTTGATGATCCCAGGGGTCTTTTCCAACCAAGCTAATTCTGTGATTTTTCCTGTTCATGTTTCCTCTTGGAAATAAATTTCCCTTGATGGAGATTATACGATTCTTTTGCAGCAATGCTCAAACTACATGAAAGAGGAAATCCTTCATCCTCTGGATGTCAAGGCAAATGGAAGATTAAAAAAAATATATATATATTTTTTCACATAATGTTAAACTGTTAAAATGTTAAACTGTGCAACTCCCCCTGGGAAGAAGCTATGGATGATGATTTTACATGGTTTCAAAAAAAGTAACTGCACAAATTCATGGAAGAAAATTCCATCAAGGCTATTTAATATAGAGACTTTAATTCTGCTTCAGATAATTTTTTAATCCCAAATTATTGTAGGTTGAGAATGTATTCTGGAGAAATATCTCTAGATGATTGTTCTGATCTTATTGTCCATCCTAAGGTTGTCTGAAGTTGTTAGTGCTCTGAAGGATGTCACAATTTCAACTGGATTAAACTAGAACTTAATGCAATATGAAAAGGTAATCCATAAATACTTGGAACCACTGCATTTTCAGTGCACACTTCATATCTCACTGCACATTAATTCTGCAGAACCTAAGTAGGGGCTCATGCTCATCTTACACACTCTCTCTCCATCATTCTCAAGATTTAAGTCCAAAAGATGAACAAATATCTTAGAAAAAAATTGCAATTTAATGTGCAGCTTTAAGTAACAATAAATATCTTAACAGGAAAATAAGGTCTACAACAAATAGAAACTCCATCTCACCTTTCAGCAATCCCCTTAACACCTTTCTGGGACTAAGCTTCAAACCACCACATGCCACCAATGTTTCCAGAGTGAAAATAGGGCAATAAATTCTCACACAAACTTAGTTGCATGTGTAGATTAAGCCAGTTCACAAAAGCTGTAGTTAGAGTACTATGTATAGAAACCTGACAGCATAGTTGAAGTCAAAGTGCAACATTTAGGATTTAAATTTAAAAAATTTTGTATTTTTAGGTTCAATCATACTCACATCTCATAATCCACCGTCTGCAATGTTCTTATGTACTGACACGAAGAGGCATACTTGGTTTGGCTGATTTTAATGAGCTCACTTCTTACACAGTGTTCCTGCAATAACACAATCAACATTCATCTAACTTAAACTGAAATCTCAAAAGCAATGAAGATACATATGCATAAAAATTCAACTGTTTAAATGAAACTGCAATCAGCCTCTAATAAAGATAATTAATATAAAAGTTTCAAGTACAAAGTAAATTTTCTTTAATGCACGGTATGAAAAATGCAGTAAAATTATCATAATGGCTTACAAACAAAAAAACCAAACCAAACAAACATAATGGAATTAATTTCAGACTATACTGACTGTGTTAAAACTCTGTGTGTTTCTTATTTTAGAAGCATGGAACTTGTGAAAGCCACCAAATGTGTTAAAGAAGGAAGAACAGAGTATGATTTAAGAATAAATTATCCTACAGAATTTCTTTGTTCAGGTTTATTACATGGGCTCTTCATTGCAGTCTGAAATTGATTTACTCTGGTTAGCTGGAGACTCAGATTGGGACAGTGAGCTCATTAGCCTGGAAAATTCTATCTGCCTCTTCAAAAACAGAATAATGGTAAAATCACTGGACTGGCATCATCTTCTAGGCTTACTTACCTCCCTGTTGTTGAACATCAGTACTGTGTAGAGTCTGTGACCTGTTTCCACCCTCTCTGGTGTTGCTATGACAATGGCAGGTACATAATATTCATTTTCTGCCTTTCTCCCAGTTCTGGCAAGCACATAGTCCCCAACCTGCACACCAGGAAAGCATCAGTACAAGAACCATGTAACTTGTGAGCTTTATTAAGTTACAAAGTGCAACTACCAAGGTATTTTTACATGAATTATCATTCTATCATGTTCCCATGATTTAATATGGACCATTGAAAGAAAAGAACAACTTGGTCCCTGCATGTTCTGATCATGCGATTTCCACTGAATTGGGGAGAGAACACAAAACAAAAATAAAGGTTCGAGCTCTACTCAATGTACCCGGGCTTAGCTAGCAAGATGAACTGAATGAGGAAATTCTTACAAACTGTGCATTCTATGCAAATTTTAAGGCTTTCAACAAGCTTTTAAACCAACCTTGGGAATTTTAGATAATTCCTGATATAACTGATTTATCCAAAATTGTTTTTGAAATTAACACAGAAGTCACGATTTTATATCAAATTCTGCAGGTCTCTAGAGTTGGATACAGAACTTACAGAAGTATCAGGAACTACCATATCAGGATTTGCCTTCATCTCAAATTGGAAAAAAAAGTTTCTAGTTATATATGTAGCAATGCAATTGTAAACATATTTCTTTTATTCAAAACAGATGGATCCAAGCTACAACCATCACTTTTCTGGTGTGTAGAATAAGAATCACCAAAAAATCCCCAGCTGTGATTACAGATTATCAGCTGATAAATTTTAAAGAAAACCAGAAATAAAACAGGGTTTATAATTTTTTATTACTGTTATTTGCCTTAGTATATGGTTATTTGCTGGATTTAAAACATGTTGTGGAAACCAAATGGTTAAAACATGCTGTAAATTACAGTAAGTATAAAAAGTGCTCTTACATTTATAATCTTTGTGCTAGCAAACAATAACTGTACTACTAAATAGCTCACCTTTCTTCTAGGGGTGGGGAAATATTAATGTTTTGTAAAGAAAACAATATAGATTCATTTAGAACACGTAATTTTAATAAACAAAGTAATAGAATTACAATGAAAACATGCTTCAAGCAAATGAAAAACTTCATGTTGAAATAGCACGATATTACTATAATGAGAAACTCTTCTTTAAAATAAATAAATGTATTTTAAAGATTTTTTTTAAAATCTATAATTTATTCTAGATCTCATAATAAAAAATAAAATACAAAATGCATATTTGCAATCAGGAAAAAATACAGTTTTTCACCTGCAGATGTGGGCATGGCATTGCACCTCCCACAGGTATAGTGAACTTGACAGGGACATCACAGCTCTCCCCATTGCTGAAGTCAACAAGTGCAGATGTAGAACTGATATTCCTTATCACAGTTCCTGGGAAAAAAAAACCACCAAAAAAACCACAGAATAAAATATCAAAATTATTTTTCTTCCACCCCTTGTGGTAATTATTTTTTTTTTAAATGCTACAGGCTGTCACACATCACTGAGGTCAAACACGTCTATACTATACATTCTTTATTTTCATTTAGCTACTGTAAGCTGTGCTAGGGCAATGGAGACATTTGTACCTAAAAAACCCCTGCCTTACTAACCATTCTTAGTAATGCTATAAAAAGAAAATGAAGTCTTTTTCAAGCACATGTCTGAAATTTGTAAGCTGATCAGGGTTAACATAATAAAACTGGCAGTTAACATAATAAACTACCACAGTTAAAAATATGTTATTGAACAAAATCCCAACTAAACACGTAAAGGTAACACAAAAATAAACAAATACATACAGAGAATATTTTTTTAAGAATAAGAATATTCAGAATATTTTTTTTTAATAGCTAAGAAAGAACTGAGTTTTACCTACTAACTATTCTGGCTTCAAATTCAACAAAAAGGCAGCAGCATCCAGTGATCTTTTGGACACACGCAAATCTTGGTTTATGATTTCCTTCCACACTTTTCATAGGCAAACATATAATTGCTCTCCAACTTTACAAAATTAATGTCTTCTTATAAATGCATATATACTTGCACATACAAAATATATATTCATTTTTCATGAATATGCACATATAATATTAAATGTCATTAAGAAATAAGTAGTTACTTATGACCATAACTTATGTTTTATCTGTATTAAGGTACACTAAATAATATTGCAAATATGCACAAAAATATATACCTGGATAATAAAATCCTGTGATGTCCGATCTTGCAATTACCTTTTGGCTTTTGTGAGTCACAAATATTTGACATTTTTGTCTTGTCTTAGTCTTTGGCCTCCCACTTTCTTCTTCAAGTCTCTGTAATTTGACACAATTATTTCTCTATAACAGCTAATGCAGTCAGCCTTAATCTATTCTTTGGAATTATTTAAAAATTGAGGCAATATAATGCTACGAGATCTGTACAGAATACACAGTAAATTCTAAATACACTTTAAACTTTCAGAATAGTTCTAAGTACAGGAAGTACTCATATAAGAGTTTTCACTATAAAATTCTGTTCTGTATGTTCATAACAGTACCTATATTTTCATGTGTTCAGGCAGAAATTTACCTTGATGAATTATAACTCTGGCTACTATTTTCTTACAAAAAATTTTTATGAAGTTGCACAATTCATATTAAAGGATGAGGTAACAGAAAATCTTTTTTTTTTTTTTTTCAGAATAAGAAAATTCGCTCTACACATATATTTTGTCCAGATAGCAGTTTTCACAGTAATCTGATTTGCATTAGAAGTACCTCACTGTAGAGGATGAATCATTAAAAATTTAAATATGAAATAAAAAAATGTTCAAACAAATCTTCAAGTGTCTGGAAATAAAGTTTATTTCCACACTATAAATTCAAAATTTAATTGACATTTTCAACCATTTTAAAACATTCCAGTTTAGCAAAATATTATACCACATCTTCCAGACCTGCCACTGTCCATTATTCTGCCCCAGTAGTCTGGGTTTTTCATACACCAATTATTTTTGCCATTCTGCTCACAATAATGTTCCTAAATATAAATTGCAAGCAAGTGCAAAACTTGTTTATAACAAATCAGTTTCACCATTACTTTTTAAAATATTTATTAGCCTACCTCCTACAATTTGCAGGCATCCATCTCTTACACAGTTCTTTTGAATCATAAAAATATGCAACTTGAAATCTCAAACTTTTCCACAGGTCTACACATTTTCCTGAAAAACTACCATAACTCACAGACTCTTAATAAAGCCCCTGCTTGCTAGGATGTGTATGACTTGCTTCTTTTTCTGATGACATTTCTTTCCTAAAAAAACTTATTTGATTTGATACTTTATTTTCCCTAACAGTCAATAACTATGGAAAAGATATTAATAACTTTGAATAAGTTGTTTGTTCCAGTTTCACTATAATTGTCACAATCTCTTTTTTTCAAACTCTCCCTCAAAAATCACAAACAACCCAAGGAAAAAAGTCCTAAAAATAAGCAAAAGACACAAAAGAGGCAAGGAGATATTTTAAATTGGAGATATATGGGATTTTTCTAGCTTATTCTTTACGCCTAGAGAATATTAATTTTATCAGCAGTTTGCATTTTCAAACTCAGAACCAGGGACTCTTCACAGTGCTTAACTGACTGCTTGAAGTATAAGTCAACAAAGGCTGATCTGAGAGCAGACCTACAGTTCCACAGACACAAAAAGGTATTTGGGTAAAGCATTTACTTAATTCCTCAGGCTCCAAAAGGACAGCTGCTACTGAATATTTATTATCAACTAATTTGTAATGCTTGACTAATAAGTTGGGCAACTTCCAGCACTCGACATTAATCCAAATGCTAGAGACGACACAAGCATTCACAATGAGGATTCCGAGTCGTGCAGAATTCAGGTGGCTCAGAAACACTGTCTAAATTCAAATCCATCTTTCTTTTCTCTCACACAGCTTTTAGGTGTTCAGTAGGATTGACCCAGACACTGTAGGAGTAGCCATTTCTGGCATTCAGTACTTTTATTATAGAGTCCTGATTCTCAGGGATTTTTACCATGTTTCGCTCTGCTTCTGTTGAAGGCAATGCATTAAACCACAATGGGTGAAGGAGACTTTGTTTACTTCTTCCAATAGCTGCTACATTTTTTAACTCCCTTTCAAAAAGAATAGTCTTTGAACTTTCCTACTGTAAGTGAGAATAGACATGAAGAATATGCACAGATCTTCATGGATCTTGGCTCAAACTTTGGCTTTTCATAATCCTGACACCTTCAGAATGGAGCAACCACCATTCTTTCCTGGGGGCCGATGGGAACGAGCCTATTCTGCGTGGACCTAGCCCGTTTTTATGAAAGAACCTAAAAAGAAAGAGCTAACAACTAAGGTGTTTTATTTAAAATTCAGTGAAAAAAATCACCAGGAAATTTAAAAGTCTGCTTTGTTGGGTAGAGTTTCAGGATAATTGTGATTTTTTCTATGATGTCACAATGACAATTTCCATTCAATGCCATATCAGCTATTTCCTTGCTGTAATGTATTTCAGTTAGCAGTTTATTTCTCAATACCTATTTTGTAGGCAGACATCACAAAACCTTCAACAACACTTTTAAAAGGTTCCCCATTTTTCTTCATTTTTTCCCACTGTTTTTCTACCACATAAACAGAATTCTAATTACATCTGCATTTCTGCCTCTCACTCTTGAAGCCTTTCAGTTGCAGATTAGCAATTACTGAAGATGCTACTCTGATTAGACTCCTAAAGCGGGTTGACTCAGGATAAGTGATTGCACAATGTTAATCACATCATGTCTGAGAGCACACACTGGTTGTTCCAAGGCAACAGTAAAATTACACTCAACAAATGAAACATAAACATGCTTCTGCTGCTCATGTATTGGGACACTATACAGCATAGGTAAATCAATAATCGAAATAGCTCTAACAGCAATGTAATATTTTCAAACTAATGTGAAATGAATCGAGATAATCTGTTTTTTGAAGACATTAAAATGTTTTCAAATGTGCAGTCTTAATGGAATTTAAAAACTCAAAAACTACAGAAAACACACACACACATACAAAAACACTAACTTCAATTATAGTTTCAGGGTAGGTAGACTAATGTATTAATGCTAGACTAACATATTAATGAAATGGAGAGAGAAAAAAATCCTCTCTACCTAGCCAAAAGTGGGTGTCCACTTCAGAATGAGCTCCAGATGCCACTGACTCAGCTCACAATGCTGTGATATTGCACCATTTCACATATACCCACATTTTAGGGACAGTTAAATTTTAGTGTACAAAAATGAAGTTGAATCCTACCTCTTCTCTCTGTATTTTCTTTTACAAGAAATGTACCATGGAAAATTACAGTGAACGACTCCAATATTACAAGATCTTTTAGTTCTGTTTATCAAATATTAACCCAACCACAAATCTTGTATCTAAATTGCCTTTAATATATCTGTTCTTTCTCTTTCCTGCTATCATTGCAGCACAGATAGAGATCCTTTGCTGTGATTTATTTCTAAGAGGCTCGATTTCTGTGGCTCTCTCTGAAGCTTCAGAACTGCTACTTCCCCAACATTTAAAAAACGTAACTGAAAGCTTGATCTCTTTTTAACTAACTTCTTTCCTCTATCCATTTTATTTAGCATCATGCTACATATCTACTTTATCATCTATGATCATGGAAAAAAAATATTCCAGAGATACATAGTGAAGAGGAATATCTAAGGGGGAAATATCCCTGCACCTGTATTACCTTTTTATTGTTGCTTATGTGTGATTCTGAGCTTTTCTCAGTTTCCTTTTTGAGAGCTTCCTGAAGATCAGAGGCTTGTTGTATATATGTTAATGCTGTCAATATCTCATCTTCTAACAATTTTACATCTTCATAGGAAACTGGCCATCCCAAATTCTCTAAAGCCTCCAGCAAAGCTTCTTTATGCTGTATATATTGGACTGGCACATCCTCTTTAAATCTTAAAAAAAAAAAGAAAATATATATATTAAGAAATTAATAATCACAAGTAGGAAAAATTTTAATTACATCAGTGCTTTACAGATAGAGTCACAAATTGTGAATGCAGAATAAAGAATCAGATTAGCCCAATTTATCTTCTGTATGCTACAAGTTCTTGCATTTCATCCAGATACTGCTGTGTTTGGTCGAACAATCACGTCTGGTATAACTATACTTTATATAAAACAGCTACAGAGAAATTCAAGTGGCTGAGCCATAATTTCTGAAAAATAAATCAAATGTTTAAATATCTATGAACCAATATTAATGATTAATATGCTCCTCTAGCAATAGACTGTGCAACTGCTACATTTTTTGATCACATGCATAATTGCCATATGCTATCAATAATTAAACATTTTGGATGGCACTCTGTCAAATTTCTATACTCTGCAACTCATTGTCTATCAAAAGATATGTATTTCCTTTTCTTTTCATTACATGCTGTTTTGTTTAAGAGTCTTCATTTCCTCTGTGCACCAGAACAAGGTTTTAGCTCTCCTTATTAATGATAGAATTGTAGGTTTTTACTCATTAGCATATGTCTTCTTAAAAGCATTCCAGTTTTCATTCCCATTTTTCTGTGAAGAACTATTTCAGGCCCATTCAGTTTTCTTAACTCATCTTCGCTTTATTTTCTGTCACAAAGAGATGTTAACTTCACTGATATTTATACAGCAATTAGTTTTCTAAATCAATATAAAAAAATAGGCTAGTTAACAGTACAAACTTCCAGAATGATATACAGCTCCAGCACACGCTTTTAAGGTGCTTATTACACCTTAACAAACCAGCCACTAGAGAGCTCTTTACGGGATCAGAGAAGATTTATTTTAATGTCAAAAGCAATAACATGCTGCCCTCTCAAGGCCCTGCACTTGACACTGATTAAGGATACAGGAGCAACATTCAAATGGAACACAAGTCCTTTCCTTTAAAAATAATCAGCACCACAAAAAGGAGATCCAGAATTTAATATTACTCCATATCATATATACATTTTTGAAAGCAAGGTATATTTATGAGATACTTGAAAATTAAACCAGTTGGTTACAGAAATAGTGATAAAAAACTACCAAATATTTATGACCAGCTTTCAGAGGTACATTAAAAAACCAAAAATGATAGCTTACTTGTCTCTTTCCTCCTGAGATAGTGCTCTCCAAATAACTAGGTTCAGGCGCCTATTAAAGAAAGCAAAGCAGTTTTTGAGGGAATGCAGCTGATCGTCTCAAAACTACCAAATAAACACAATTTCTTAACATATCTGCACTGATTTGTATTCCAAGCACAATGCATCATCAAATTGTATCCTTATGGTTCAGCTATGAAATTATCAACTGCAAAAGAAGATGGGAAAAGAGTATCTTCCATCAAATAACAGCATGACTATTTCAGGGTCATAGACGGTTTAATAGCAATCACTGCTGCTTCCTGCCAAGATTTTCTATGGATGGCTGTCTTCAGCATCAGCAAGTTAAATCAAATAACAAAATTGATTAAATGCCAGTTAAGCTGCTCAGTTCCTCCAATTAAACATTTTCAGAAAATGTAGTCTGAATGTAGTAATGCTAATTTCTACTTTTTTCCCTGCTAAAATTACCCCTCAGTTGTGCCATAAAGGTTTCCAATTCATTAAACTCTGGCTATGAAGAAAAACTACTGACAGGAAGTCAGAAGTGATTATCCCAAAGCAATGCAGTTCTGAGATCTTTTAAAAGCACCACTAAACTTTCTGGTTTTGCTTTTTAAGACGTAAATTTTAAACTCTTATAAGATCATCTAGCTTATGGTTTTCTCTATTAACATCCCAAACAAACCATCACTCAATTACTTCATTTCAGCTATAGATCCTAATTACTGTAATTCCAGAAAAATTTTCCAAATTTCCTTTGGATACAAGAAAAATTCATTGCTAGGAAAAATTCAGATTGTAACCTGATTGACTATAAGTAGTCTTGCCAGATTTACTGGTGCGTGTACAAAATAAAGCACATTAACAACAGATTCTGAATACTAAATTCCTGATGATTCATTTTATCTACCAGAAACTAAATCCCAGCATTTTTAGAATACAAAGTACTTAGTTCATTCTCAATATACAGTCTCAGCACGCTCCAATGCCTATTTCATCCTTCTAAATGTGCACACTCATAACTAAGTTGGTTATAAAAGCTTCTGGCTATACAAAAATCATATCTGTTATGGATCTTTCAGTGTTCTTCTCCTTTAATACTAGATGTTCTCTCTGTCAGGTCACAAAAAATCTGCCCCCACCACTTTTCTCCCTCTAAATCTGATGCTAAACTCAATCTGCATATGGAAAAATGCTGGCATGTTTGCTTCTGTGCTTGAAACCTGGATGTCCTGATCTATTGTTTCATCTACGTATGTCAGAATAAATTTGTGACCAACCACTATTTACAAAGCTGAACTGCATCTTTTGGAAATTCAGTTACTAGAAAACGACTGTGATATCTAGAGAAAAAAAAAATTCACTGGCTTGCTGTTTCACATGTAGAGGAAAAGCAAAAAGATCTCTTTTTTGCACTGTCAATTATAGGATCTTCAGGCAGCTTTGTCTTCTAAGCAGGAACTCAATCCTATTATTTTAAGTACACTNTTTTTTTTTTTTTTTCAGAATAAGAAAATTCGCTCTACACATATATTTTGTCCAGATAGCAGTTTTCACAGTAATCTGATTTGCATTAGAAGTACCTCACTGTAGAGGATGAATCATTAAAAATTTAAATATGAAATAAAAAAATGTTCAAACAAATCTTCAAGTGTCTGGAAATAAAGTTTATTTCCACACTATAAATTCAAAATTTAATTGACATTTTCAACCATTTTAAAACATTCCAGTTTAGCAAAATATTATACCACATCTTCCAGACCTGCCACTGTCCATTATTCTGCCCCAGTAGTCTGGGTTTTTCATACACCAATTATTTTTGCCATTCTGCTCACAATAATGTTCCTAAATATAAATTGCAAGCAAGTGCAAAACTTGTTTATAACAAATCAGTTTCACCATTACTTTTTAAAATATTTATTAGCCTACCTCCTACAATTTGCAGGCATCCATCTCTTACACAGTTCTTTTGAATCATAAAAATATGCAACTTGAAATCTCAAACTTTTCCACAGGTCTACACATTTTCCTGAAAAACTACCATAACTCACAGACTCTTAATAAAGCCCCTGCTTGCTAGGATGTGTATGACTTGCTTCTTTTTCTGATGACATTTCTTTCCTAAAAAAACTTATTTGATTTGATACTTTATTTTCCCTAACAGTCAATAACTATGGAAAAGATATTAATAACTTTGAATAAGTTGTTTGTTCCAGTTTCACTATAATTGTCACAATCTCTTTTTTTCAAACTCTCCCTCAAAAATCACAAACAACCCAAGGAAAAAAGTCCTAAAAATAAGCAAAACACACAAAAGAGGCAAGGAGATATTTTAAATTGGAGATATATGGGATTTTTCTAGCTTATTCTTTACGCCTAGAGAATATTAATTTTATCAGCAGTTTGCATTTTCAAACTCAGAACCAGGGACTCTTCACAGTGCTTAACTGACTGCTTGAAGTATAAGTCAACAAAGGCTGATCTGAGAGCAGACCTACAGTTCCACAGACACAAAAAGGTATTTGGGTAAAGCATTTACTTAATTCCTCAGGCTCCAAAAGGACAGCTGCTACTGAATATTTATTATCAACTAATTTGTAATGCTTGACTAATAAGTTGGGCAACTTCCAGCACTCCACATTAATCCAAATGCTAGAGACGACACAAGCATTCACAATGAGGATTCCGAGTCGTGCAGAATTCAGGTGGCTCAGAAACACTGTCTAAATTCAAATCCATCTTTCTTTTCTCTCACACAGCTTTTAGGTGTTCAGTAGGATTGACCCAGACACTGTAGGAGTAGCCATTTCTGGCATTCAGTACTTTTATTATAGAGTCCTGATTCTCAGGGATTTTTACCATGTTTCGCTCTGCTTCTGTTGAAGGCAATGCATTAAACCACAATGGGTGAAGGAGACTTTGTTTACTTCTTCCAATAGCTGCTACATTTTTTAACTCCCTTTCAAAAAGAATAGTCTTTGAACTTTCCTACTGTAAGTGAGAATAGACATGAAGAATATGCACAGATCTTCATGGATCTTGGCTCAAACTTTGGCTTTTCATAATCCTGACACCTTCAGAATGGAGCAACCACCATTCTTTCCTGGGGGCCGATGGGAACGAGCCTATTCTGCGTGGACCTAGCCCGTTTTTATGAAAGAACCTAAAAAGAAAGAGCTAACAACTAAGGTGTTTTATTTAAAATTCAGTGAAAAAAATCACCAGGAAATTTAAAAGTCTGCTTTGTTGGGTAGAGTTTCAGGATAATTGTGATTTTTTCTATGATGTCACAATGACAATTTCCATTCAATGCCATATCAGCTATTTCCTTGCTGTAATGTATTTCAGTTAGCAGTTTATTTCTCAATACCTATTTTGTAGGCAGACATCACAAAACCTTCAACAACACTTTTAAAAGGTTCCCCATTTTTCTTCATTTTTTCCCACTGTTTTTCTACCACATAAACAGAATTCTAATTACATCTGCATTTCTGCCTCTCACTCTTGAAGCCTTTCAGTTGCAGATTAGCAATTACTGAAGATGCTACTCTGATTAGACTCCTAAAGCGGGTTGACTCAGGATAAGTGATTGCACAATGTTAATCACATCATGTCTGAGAGCACACACTGGTTGTTCCAAGGCAACAGTAAAATTACACTCAACAAATGAAACATAAACATGCTTCTGCTGCTCATGTATTGGGACACTATACAGCATAGGTAAATCAATAATCGAAATAGCTCTAACAGCAATGTAATATTTTCAAACTAATGTGAAATGAATCGAGATAATCTGTTTTTTGAAGACATTAAAATGTTTTCAAATGTGCAGTCTTAATGGAATTTAAAAACTCAAAAACTACAGAAAACACACACACACATACAAAAACACTAACTTCAATTATAGTTTCAGGGTAGGTAGACTAATGTATTAATGCTAGACTAACATATTAATGAAATGGAGAGAGAAAAAAATCCTCTCTACCTAGCCAAAAGTGGGCGTCCACTTCAGAATGAGCTCCAGATGCCACTGACTCAGCTCACAATGCTGTGATATTGCACCATTTCACATATACCCACATTTTAGGGACAGTTAAATTTTAGTGTACAAAAATGAAGTTGAATCCTACCTCTTCTCTCTGTATTTTCTTTTACAAGAAATGTACCATGGAAAATTACAGTGAACGACTCCAATATTACAAGATCTTTTAGTTCTGTTTATCAAATATTAACCCAACCACAAATCTTGTATCTAAATTGCCTTTAATATATCTGTTCTTTCTCTTTCCTGCTATCATTGCAGCACAGATAGAGATCCTTTGCTGTGATTTATTTCTAAGAGGCTCGATTTCTGTGGCTCTCTCTGAAGCTTCAGAACTGCTACTTCCCCAACATTTAAAAAACGTAACTGAAAGCTTGATCTCTTTTTAACTAACTTCTTTCCTCTATCCATTTTATTTAGCATCATGCTACATATCTACTTTATCATCTATGATCATGGAAAAAAATATTCCAGAGATACATAGTGAAGAGGAATATCTAAGGGGGAAATATCCCTGCACCTGTATTACCTTTTTATTGTTGCTTATGTGTGATTCTGAGCTTTTCTCAGTTTCCTTTTTGAGAGCTTCCTGAAGATCAGAGGCTTGTTGTATATATGTTAATGCTGTCAATATCTCATCTTCTAACAATTTTACATCTTCATAGGAAACTGGCCATCCCAAATTCTCTAAAGCCTCCAGCAAAGCTTCTTTATGCTGTATATATTGGACTGGCACATCCTCTTTAAATCTTAAAAAAAAAAAGAAAATATATATATTAAGAAATTAATAATCACAAGTAGGAAAAATTTTAATTACATCAGTGCTTTACAGATAGAGTCACAAATTGTGAATGCAGAATAAAGAATCAGATTAGCCCAATTTATCTTCTGTATGCTACAAGTTCTTGCATTTCATCCAGATACTGCTGTGTTTGGTCGAACAATCACGTCTGGTATAACTATACTTTATATAAAACAGCTACAGAGAAATTCAAGTGGCTGAGCCATAATTTCTGAAAAATAAATCAAATGTTTAAATATCTATGAACCAATATTAATGATTAATATGCTCCTCTAGCAATAGACTGTGCAACTGCTACATTTTTTGATCACATGCATAATTGCCATATGCTATCAATAATTAAACATTTTGGATGGCACTCTGTCAAATTTCTATACTCTGCAACTCATTGTCTATCAAGAGATATGTATTTCCTTTTCTTTTCATTACATGCTGTTTTGTTTAAGAGTCTTCATTTCCTCTGTGCACCAGAACAAGGTTTTAGCTCTCCTTATTAATGATAGAATTGTAGGTTTTTACTCATTAGCATATGTCTTCTTAAAAGCATTCCAGTTTTCATTCCCATTTTTCTGTGAAGAACTATTTCAGGCCCATTCAGTTTTCTTAACTCATCTTCGCTTTATTTTCTGTCACAAAGAGATGTTAACTTCACTGATATTTATACAGCAATTAGTTTTCTAAATCAATATAAAAAAATAGGCTAGTTAACAGTACAAACTTCCAGAATGATATACAGCTCCAGCACACGCTTTTAAGGTGCTTATTACACCTTAACAAACCAGCCACTAGAGAGCTCTTTACGGGATCAGAGAAGATTTATTTTAATGTCAAAAGCAATAACATGCTGCCCTCTCAAGGCCCTGCACTTGACACTGATTAAGGATACAGGAGCAACATTCAAATGGAACACAAGTCCTTTCCTTTAAAAATAATCAGCACCACAAAAAGGAGATCCAGAATTTAATATTACTCCATATCATATATACATTTTTGAAAGCAAGGTATATTTATGAGATACTTGAAAATTAAACCAGTTGGTTACAGAAATAGTGATAAAAAACTACCAAATATTTATGACCAGCTTTCAGAGGTACATTAAAAAACCAAAAATGATAGCTTACTTGTCTCTTTCCTCCTGAGATAGTGCTCTCCAAATAACTAGGTTCAGGCGCCTATTAAAGAAAGCAAAGCAGTTTTTGAGGGAATGCAGCTGATCGTCTCAAAACTAGCAAATAAACACAATTTCTTAACATATCTGCACTGATTTGTATTCCAAGCACAATGCATCATCAAATTGTATCCTTATGGTTCAGCTATGAAATTATCAACTGCAAAAGAAGATGGGAAAAGAGTATCTTCCATCAAATAACAGCATGACTATTTCAGGGTCATAGACGGTTTAATAGCAATCACTGCTGCTTCCTGCCAAGATTTTCTATGGATGGCTGTCTTCAGCATCAGCAAGTTAAATCAAATAACAAAATTGATTAAATGCCAGTTAAGCTGCTCAGTTCCTCCAATTAAACATTTTCAGAAAATGTAGTCTGAATGTAGTAATGCTAATTTCTACTTTTTTCCCTGCTAAAATTACCCCTCAGTTGTGCCATAAAGGTTTCCAATTCATTAAACTCTGGCTATGAAGAAAAACTACTGACAGGAAGTCAGAAGTGATTATCCCAAAGCAATGCAGTTCTGAGATCTTTTAAAAGCACCACTAAACTTTCTGGTTTTGCTTTTTAAGACGTAAATTTTAAACTCTTATAAGATCATCTAGCTTATGGTTTTCTCTATTAACATCCCAAACAAACCATCACTCAATTACTTCATTTCAGCTATAGATCCTAATTACTGTAATTCCAGAAAAATTTTCCAAATTTCCTTTGGATACAAGAAAAATTCATTGCTAGGAAAAATTCAGATTGTAACCTGATTGACTATAAGTAGTCTTGCCAGATTTACTGGTGCGTGTACAAAATAAAGCACATTAACAACAGATTCTGAATACTAAATTCCTGATGATTCATTTTATCTACCAGAAACTAAATCCCAGCATTTTTAGAATACAAAGTACTTAGTTCATTCTCAATATACAGTCTCAGCACGCTCCAATGCCTATTTCATCCTTCTAAATGTGCACACTCATAACTAAGTTGGTTATAAAAGCTTCTGGCTATACAAAAATCATATCTGTTATGGATCTTTCAGTGTTCTTCTCCTTTAATACTAGATGTTCTCTCTGTCAGGTCACAAAAAATCTGCCCCCACCACTTTTCTCCCTCTAAATCTGATGCTAAACTCAATCTGCATATGGAAAAATGCTGGCATGTTTGCTTCTGTGCTTGAAACCTGGATGTCCTGATCTATTGTTTCATCTACGTATGTCAGAATAAATTTGTGACCAACCACTATTTACAAAGCTGAACTGCATCTTTTGGAAATTCAGTTACTAGAAAACGACTGTGATATCTAGAGAAAAAAAAAATTCACTGGCTTGCTGTTTCACATGTAGAGGAAAAGCAAAAAGATCTCTTTTTTGCACTGTCAATTATAGGATCTTCAGGCAGCTTTGTCTTCTATACCTCTTTTTCATGGAAGCAGGAACTCAATCCTATTATTTTAAGTACACTGATTCATTGATCTCTATTGGTAAACAGAAGTAAACAGTAATCCTTATCACCAAAGTTTTAGAGAAACTGTGGAAATGCTATCAGAGTTTAACCAAAAAACAATTTTCTTTCCCTTACAATCAAAGTCAGTAAATGTAAAATATTCAATGGTATGGCACAATAATGAAAATCTTGAAGATTTTTCAGAATTCACCATCACAAATACACCACTATTCTATTACACCACTATATTCGATTAAAATGAATGACAAATCAATTTCTATGAATTCTAATAATATCAGTGATAACAGCGCTGTCTCAGTGACAGAACAAACCAAACAAGAAACTTTCATTCACTGAACTCCATTAATACTAGATACAGCAAGCAGCATTTTCAAATCAAAATTCTTGATTTTACCTCAAAAGATCTGTATAGGATACTAGGATTGAAAAAGAAAGCTACAGCATGCTTTGGAACTGGTATGACCATAGAGCTGCCAAGGAAAATAAGACCTCCTCAAACCTTAAAGACCCTCCATGGAATTCATAAAAAAACCAACATTTTTCATCAGGAGGGTTTTGGTCTTATAAAATAATTACATTTGTAAATGTTATTAGAATACAGTCTAAAGATATTTATTAAAATAATTCTAGTCAAAGCTCTCATGTGATTACTGAATTACACCATAGTAAAATAATTGCATTATTTTTAAAAAATGCATAAAGTTGGATCATGGAAAGAAGTAGCTTAGAAATCTAATGCCTTTGTCCTCTTTACTTCTGTTGTGATTTTACTAACATTTAATTTAAAAGTACAACACATATGCCTCTCAAAAAAAACCTCACCAAATTTAAATTGTCCGTTTCTTATTGGTGCCTCAGTTATATTATTGCATGCATAGTTGGGTGATAGACAGCTGGCAGCAAAAAACAGGTCCTTAATTTAAGTGTCAGCCTATGGCTATAGGATCTTAATTTTAAGTTAAAAGTCTGGCTAGCATTATATGTTTATGGGCAATTCCTCTTGAGGGTTGACCGGTTTCAGGTCTGCCCTGAAAAGTAAAATAATTTTGGTTTTGTCACTGAACAAACATAATATGAGCAACATGTTGCTATTTATTTCCTTGCCTATTATCTGTTTTCACATTCAGTGCTTTTTTTTCCTCTTTAAGAAAATAAAATTTCTCCTACATGTGATGGTGGATTAAAGTGTGAAGAATTATCAGTATTGAACAAAGCATGTGTGAGGAAATACTGAGTACCTGAGAAAAAAACTGAAACATGACTACAACCATGACAAATTTCTGGTGAGTAGACTTGCCTCTCATAGGATTTAATTGCTTGTTCCAGCTTCTCTTTATAGGCATCAAGATTCACTGCCCAAGGATTAATTAGTGCAATCCCCTTCTTGTCACTGTGAACATGGGCCAATGGTAACATCTATTATACAACAAAAGACACACGTATCATTTATCATACAAATTTTCAAATGACTGAATACCAAGGCTCAGAATAGCCAGAAGGAACACTGGAAGCTGCAGAAAGAAAAATCTAAGCACCACAAATGTCAGAATTAAGACACAGCTTCCAGCCAGTTCTTCTAAAATTATACAATCCCATTATGAAAAAGTTACAAATCAAGATTCCTAACTACTAAGTAATTCTAACTAAATCAGTACTGTCCAACAACACTCTAATAATGTAAGTCAGAAGGAAACAAATACATCTAGTGAATGACTGTATTCCAGGTTTTACTGCCTTAAAACACTCTCATACTTTCCAGCATCTAATTCTAGCACACATGAATGAGAGTAAATATTTACATATATTTAATGCTCTTATTCTAGAGGACTTTATTTTGTAAGCAATCAGAGTAGTAAAGCTGTAGAGAGATCACTGATCACCAAAGAGCGAACAAAGCGGACATTGGTCACCAAAACTTGTCTTGATTACTTAGGAAACTAATCAGATTCATCAGGATAAGAACTTCAATATTTTTCAAATCTCCCAATACAATACCTACATAAGTCAACTTCATTATAAAATAAAAATGAATGCAACTGTGAGTAGATCTTCAAAAGACAGAGAAAAGGGTAGAAATGGATGACAAAAAGAGAAGGAAAGATGCCTAAAGATGCCTTCCAAATTCTCAGTCCAAAGTCCCACCATCTTTCAGCCTATTAAATTATTCAGTAGTTCATAAAATAAAAGCTGTTTTACATATCAGTGTCCTGATGCTGAATTAAAAAAAAAAAAATCCAAGGAGGAACTGGAGAAGAAAGAGAATGTTAATCTCCCCAAAACTGTCTTCAACGCATATGATTGAATGGGAATCTTCCCCAAGTGCCTGTCTGAGATCAGGATATAGATGAGAAAAACATGGATGAGGTTCAATTTATATTAAACTAAAACCTCTGTTGGGGGAATTATACAAATAATCAGAAAATAGAGCAATAAAGAAAATTATTTAGTTGAGAAAACTTTTCAGTGATGCTTTATTTGTGTTTGAATCATCTCAGCATAGGTAGATTACAAATTCCAACAGTATAAATAATTCTTTTAGGAGCAGTGGTGTGGCTTTATATCACCCTCTCTTTCCAACGACATTGTCTCTCTGATTAATAAATCTGTGTCACATCAGTGACAGACCACATCAAAGCTCCTAATATGAAATTAATCTTAAAATCACTTAGAAGTTAAAGACAATGGGAACATGTCAGTGAAAATATCTTGCCAGAGACAGATGAGGTAAATCTCTGCCCATAACTCTGAGCAGTGATATCTGGCTACTTGTCATTTCCAGGTGAAGTTTGAAAGCGTCAGGCAGGGAAGTGATGACCCCTCTTCAAGGTCTGCAATGCCATGAGTGTTGTCTACAATGTTACTCAAACCAAGGTAACAGAAGTTCAGCGGGGTCTCACCATGTAGGATGCCTCACAAATTCTGAGAGTAATTTCAAGTACAAACAGCATAATTTGCAACATGACTATTTAATAGAGTTTATAAAATACTTTGTATAGAATAGAAGGGGCAGACGAACATATACACATTATTATACTTCTGAAGACAAAAAGCAGAATGTATTCTTAGCAAATACTAATCTTGAAATACTAGACGTACTTTGAGAACAATGAAAACTGATCACAAAGTCAAGTGAAATTTGACATATTCAGCTGATAGACATCACAGAGAATTTATTTTTATTACCAAAATATTTTTTTATTTCCTAAATTAAATACTTTAACTTTTACACTAAAAGAATTCACTTGTTTCAAAATTGCTTTTATTTCAAAATCTTAAAGACAAAACCAAAGCACAATAACCCTATAAAAATGTTCTTATTTTAGACCAAAGAAAGATGGGTTTTTGGCTAAATCTGATTCTTTTAAGCAAAGCACTAAGTCAAAACTTCATGACTTGCAAACCTGTACTTAGAGGCCACAACCTGCAACATATATTTACATGATTCAAAAGGGAAAGTTTCCCCCAGAATTACTATAGCATAATTCAGACAAGCTCCCAAGCCATTATTTCTTTTCTGAATATGAACCTGGATGGGTAGTTTAATAAATTAACCTCTTTGAAATAACTCAGGTGAATCTGACAAATAGCACAGAACTGAAAACAACAGGTCAGCCTTTTGTTAATGAGCAGTTGTCATGGAAACCTTTTTCTTGCTGCATCTCCAAGGTAAGAAAACTGTTCATACTTATTCTATCATCACTGCTGGCAAAGGCCAAAAATAAAAATTATACTATCCTCTGAAAAGCAAAAGAGGATTTCTGCATTCCACACCAAGAAAACTAAGATCTCAGAAGGAACAATGCAGAATTATCTGTAAAATTATTATCTTCAATGAAATCTTCTGAAGTACTGGAATAAACAAGATCCTTAAAGTCTCCTATTCAAGCTCATTGCCTAGTGTCTATTTTCTTGATATGCTGGCCTGAAGCTTCAGGTGAAGTGGGTTCTGTAGCTCAGAAATTCTACTGCTTTCATCTTGGTGCAACCCTCAACCTTCTTTTTCTTTTCTATACTCAGTTTCAGATACAGAAAAATCCATTCCTTTACACATAGAACAATAATTCTCCACTGCCCGAGAAACTGGGTGTCTGATTACAACTAATGGAGACTAATAGGTATGAAGAAATGACAAAAATTATTTTGCTTTACTATCCCTAAAGAATCTAAAGAAAGCTCATGGATCACTGTTCGGATTCTGTACAGCACCTATTAATTCAAATTACACTGAACTTAATTCAGTCCTGAACTAGACTACCCAGGAGTTCCTATGAACTGCTACTTGTACACAGTATTCCTGAATCATAGTTTAGACTATTTTCAAAGACTGACTGCTTTGTTTTTTTGCAAGGGTAGTTTGTAAAGGATTCAAAGGGCTGTTCATTGAAAAACATGGAAGTAAGAGGACCTCTTAGGTATATTCAGAAGATGGAAAAAGAAGCAACTGCTCACAAATGAGATCTAAGAGTTTTCTGAAATTCACAATGTCTTTTGTTTGACATTTACAGTAGATTGTTTTGCAGTTTTGTAACTATTGGATGTCTGATTTTTTTTAATGGCTATTTTACATCTCAAATGTTAAAATGTACCTTTTAAAATGTTCTCATACAAAAAGACATCTTTTAATTCTATTTTTAAAAAATCCCACTTAGAAAAAATTCTTACAGATCTTGCTTTTCACTTGGTTTTATCAAAAGAGAGGAACTGTTTCTACCAAAGAGAGGAAGTGGTTTTTCTTCTACAGATTGCATGCTTTAGCAAAAATTCGCATGCCTAAATTAAAAACCAGCATGAATATTTTAAAATGTAAAATTGTGCACATTTGCTATAAATCTGTTACTTAGTTCTATAATACATTCTTTTACAAATCCCTTGTTCTTTCTTTATTATTTAAAAAAAAAGTTGTTTAGATTTTTCTTTGAGTATTGTTTAAAGAAAAAGTTTTTATTGAAATGAGTTGCAGCATATTTATAGGACTCTTGTAGGATACATCACACAAGAAAAATTAGAGCAATTTGCCATGAAATGGATTTCCTATAAGTGGAATGGCAAGTCGAACTTTATGATACAAAATTTCCCCTAAATTTTACAAAAATCTTACAACTGCCTTAAAATTTCATTTAAAACCTCTCAAAAATTAATTTTAATTACTGAATGCCAATACTTTTCGAAAGATCTTAATTCACAGTCACATGTAAAAGTGGAGAATGTACAAATCCATGAAATGTCCACCATCACCCTTTTCCAGATGACTTTATGGAATAAAAGACATCCTCCAGTGAATTAATAAGAATCAGTGGAGGCTGTGGTGCTCAAGAAATTGCCTAACACCCAATGGCTGTACACTGCCATCAGCTGGTGAAAGAATTTAAGGGTAAAGTATGCAAGACATACTATTAACTATCAGTTTTATCTTCTTACTGATGCATGAATGAACATTCAGATATGACTGATACATTTAGTGCACATCAACAATCTACAATACCAGAAAATGTTATTATGATATTCATAGAAATTAATTTTAAAAATCCTTTAGAAAACACTATAAAGTTTTGTTCTACCTTTCAAACAGCATAGGAGTTTTACCTTATCAAATACTTTAGAAACTACATGCTTGTCCAGCACTGGGATGTATTTTGTACTGTGAGGAACAGTTGTAGGAGCTAAGGCATCCATGATGGTGAGTCGCCTAGCAGCCAAGCCGTGGGTCTTTAACCAAACAGCTGAAGAGATATCTAGAGAGCTAGAAAAGAGAGACTGTGAGATGTAGCACAAGCTAGAAATACATTTGAAAGGTTTGAAATGAGTGAAGAAAATATGTAAACTATAAGTTTTGTTATGCATTTATATATGCATACACGTACCTTTTAGATGCCCTTTTCACATTCTGCATTTTCAGATCTAAGAGAAAACATTTACATTTTGTTATCTCAGAGATTTTGTGCACACAAAAGTATGCATAAATAAGTTGCCATATAATAGAACCAATTTTTTTAATTTGAGTGTACAACAGCATCATGCACTAGATAACATTTCAGTTGCTAATTAATCAGTGAGAATTCATTTTCCTCACCTTCATTGTGCTTGATCAATAGTAACAGTGTTACCATATGCTTCATGAGCTCTAATCAGCCAGCCAGGAAATTTATAAAATAGGAAGGCAATTTTGTTTTTTAAACTGAAATTTGTTTCAGTTTATTTCTTTTTGACCAAGACCAAAGATTAACCAGTTTACTTCCCAAGTCAAAATGTGATACCAAGTACTAGCACTAATGAGGTGGCCAGGAGTAGGTAATTTAAGGTACACCACTATGAAAATCTCTATAAAAGATATATAAAAAACTAAACATAAGATGTTGAAATGCAAAAAAATCAAACATCTTTAAGTGTCGTAGGTAAGGTTTTAGAATTACTTAGAGGATGTATCATAAAATTCTGAGTTGGACTAATTACTGAAAGAAATTAATGCTATCTCAATGTATTTCTAAGACCCACTGAAAACTCAGTTGTAAACTTCTAGTTTGGGAACTGGCAGGAGTCTGGCCACAGCTGTAAAGACACTGTCCCAGTACCCAACTTCATGTCCAACTCTGCTGACATTCAGTCTTTTGTATGGCAGATCTGCAGAGTTTTGCCTCAAAGGACGCACCATTAGTTACAAATGTAACAGGAGAAACCTTATCTTCTGCCCCACTTGGAGCTTCTTATTCTGTCAACTTGCCTTTGAAAATGGTTGTACATTTCACACCCTTCTTGACAGAAAAACCCTTTTCCTGTGGAGACACTGTTTTCTCTGGGCTTTCTTCCCTAGATTTCACACCTTGGCTCAGGATTCGCAGCAGACTTGTCTTTGTTTGATCTGTAGTCGTTGAAAGGGAAAGAAAGGAAGAGCTTATTTACTGCTCAAATACATGCCTGGGATTTTGAGCTCCTCTTTGGTATTTAGTATCTAAGGGACTGCCTACACAATACCTCAAACAGAAAACTACTTCAACACTAAGTTGCATTTTGTATTTTCCCCAAAGATGAGGGTCTATTTTTCTTCAGCTGGGTAAATTTAGTTTCAGACTGCATACAAAGGACACTTCCAGGAGAAATGTAGTATTATGGGTGCAGTAAATGGAAATATTAGTGTAAGTAATGTTGTAATTGGTACAATATAGATCACCTCTTCATTCTTGCCAGTTATGTACTTACTTCGAATAAAACCAGTTAGAGTTTAATATCTACTGTTAAAAAACTGTTTACAGAGCTTTCATAACATTCCACTAAAATACTACTTCTTCATGGCAGGGCCTGTGACAAAGCACAAATGCGCAGACATTTGTTTGTCTGGTTGGGCCAAATGAGTAGGATGGCTGAAAAGCAGAGATGAAGAGAAGTTTAGATTTTCAAAATGCTGATTACTTAAGTCAGCAAACACTTAATTTCTTCCCAAAACGAAGGATGATTTTTGCTATTTGCAACAGAATCATTTCAAGTTAGTGAATGAATTCTGTTGACAATTACAGCTCATTTGAATCTTACCTGCATATAATGCTTTCTTTCTTCGGGCTGGACTGGCAGCAGTGCTTTGCTCGGTTTGCTCATGTGATGGCACTGATGGTTCTTCTGAAGCACAGCACAGCCTACTCCTAAGAGAAATACTCAGCTCTTAAATGTGTTTGGATACAGGGACACAGTGTGTGTCTACTTGTGATTACTGCTTGTAAGAAGAAATTACTGCAAATATGTAACACCAGTTTAAAAATGCTAAGCTGAAGTTTCCTGGCAATTTAAACACTGATTTCAAATGCTTCAAACAGTGCAAAATATTTTTCTGTTATACCAATATGCATTTCAAAGGAAAGTTCAAAGGAGGTTAAAATATTCTTAGGGGTTTTAATTATTTAAAAGTAATTTCTTAGTTTATTTAAAAGATGTTCATTACTTTAAAGGTAACACCCTCATATATTTTTAATAAGAACAGAATGTTCTGTAATAGCTACTTTGAATCTCAGTGCTAAGTAGCTACCATCAGCAAAATATCTGCTACATACATATGCACATATATATATACACACACATATATCTATGTCCCAGCATTAATAAAAAATAAAATACACATATTCTGAAATAAACACTTACATTTTTTTCTGGACATCCTACCTGCACTTTCACACATGAAATCATAACACATCATTGTACACTTTTAATAATTTTTACTTTCATTCCTTTACTGTTTTCAATAGATTTCGGTCTTAAAAATCTGATTCCTTTTAATGCATTTTTAAACGTTTTTTACTATCACTGCACAAACAAATACACAAATATATTTGTACATAATTTATGTTTCAATCAGCATATCCCAATGAGTGGCCATTAAGTCACGAGGTATCAAGCCAGCCCTACTTAGATGACAATAATTTTTCATGAGTTCTTTAGGTCAGAGGGATCAATTTTACCATGTGTTGGAGGCAAAAAAATAATCCCCCTCTTTGCTTTAATTATTCGTAATATGTTGAGACTATTGGTATATTTGAGATAATTTTGTTTCAGGCATCACAGCATTAGTAAATTTTTCCAGATTTTTTTTTCCATTGGCTGTTAAAAAAACTTTGACAGTATGAAAGCAATAACCCTTCTTTTAAAAAGGAGAAATGTAAGAGATAGTTCCCACCTACTATTAACATAATAACAGAATGAGGACATACTTATTCTCTGGATAATTTTCTTTATTATAAGAATTCATCATCAGACTTTTCTCATGAAAGGTCTTCACTTTCTCTAGATCTTTCTCTCCTTGATCAATTTCTCTTTTCAAAAGATCTATGTCATTATTCTAACAAAAAGAAAATCAAATGTTTTAGTACAATTACTCCAAAATATGTTTCATTTCTGAACTGAAATTATGCAAGTTCTGATAATAATTCTGAATAATGACAGGACATTGTTCAGAGGACAGCTTCCAAATTTTGCATACTTTTTCAGGTAGGCTCTTGTGCTTGGCATTATAGCCTCTCAAATTATTCTTCCTTTCTAGGAAAATGGCAATCATTCCCTAACTAGCCAGTTACTCCTTGAGATATGAACAGCTGTATTTCTAAATAAGGTAATGGGGTCACTAGCTCTACTCATTTCAAGCAAGCAAGAAAATAAGTAAGCAAATAAATAAAATACATTAGAAGGGATAGCCTGTCATTATACAAATCTCGACTGTATCACTGTATCCTGTCTGAGGACCAGGGAAGCAAAAAACATACTCTTCAAGCAAACACTGGAACTGACTAGGAATCATTTAGGACAGAGGAGGAAACAAGAAGGAAATTCCAACGATGCTCCCTCTACAGCTCCCACAGGGCCACAGGCTCCCATCTCCAAGTCTGGAGATGTACAACACAGACTCTGGCTCTCATTTTTCCAACAGGAGCAGTGTCACACAGTCCACGCCAGCAGAATCACTGAATTTGCCCAGTACACTGACATTTTTGAAGAGCTGGATTATTTTCACATCTTCCTTCTAATTGGTGTCTGTAAAGTTCAAATTTCCCAGTACTGTCTTGTTATTGCTTGTTCTCATCGTTCAACTAACTACCATTTCTGAAATCTATACAACCAATTTACTGAGTGGTAATTTTAATAAAAAGCAAGAATACGTTTCAAACGGGTGTTCCTCTTAGTCTATTCAGAAATTTCCTATTGAGGATTGTTGAGCTGCATAGTCACACTTGATAGATGACTGCTATTCTAGTCATCTTACTCTGTCTTTATAGATCTCTCCCAAGCAGCTACTGTAGAACAAATTTGTAACGAGATCCATATAATCATTATCACTAAAATTCAGCTCTGCATTCTCTTATTTATTAACAGGATACAAACCATATTCTCATTTTAAACAGTAACATATTTCTGAAACAGCAGAGATCATGTGTTTCTTCCAGAGCTGATTTGGTCTACATGTACTTTTAGGTTTTAGTTTTCAAGTAGAAGGGCATCAGGAAAGGGAGAATGTGTTTGCAACTACAGGACCACAAATGTAGTGTACAAATGCATTAGATTTAACATTTTTTGTTGTGGTCTAGGAAAAATTCACAAACAAAATAATCATATTATTGTTTACATATCACATCAAATCTGACTAGGATTAACCCCCTCTTTTTTAGTAATCTATTGTAATATGAAATCACAATAATGCAAGTCACGTAGCTCTTAGAAGTAGCATGAAGAAATAAATATATTTCTTTTCAGATACTCACAACAATAAACTCTGTAGTATCAAGGTCACTCCAATAAACGTTGTAATAATGAAACTGTCCCTCTGTTATAGTAGATAGTTCATATAAAAATTTATTGGCTTCTATATCATCACAGTTGAAGGATATAGTATGGATGGGAATTTTACAGTGAAGTTGGATTTCAGCCAAAATTATCTGAGGGGGCTGAAAATCAAAAATCCCTTATGTTAAACATGTGGCATCTAGAAACATATTTATCAAAACACGGAGAATTTGTAAAAGTTTAATCAGTAGTTCTGTTGCTCAGAGATGGATATAGATCAGTTAAAAGCATCCACTTTATACAGATTGCTATTTCAATTAGAAATCAGTAAATGAGTAAATCTAAAACTGATTTTGAAAGACTGATAAATGCATTAAGGCACATGATGTAAATTGTAATGTAATCAGTACTCTTTGTTTCTGAAGTTTTAAAAGAAATTACTTACATTTAGGAAATTAAAACACTACAATAGTGTTTAGGATCACTGGATATATAAAAATATTTTTGGAAGTATACGAGTGTGAATCTTTTTAAGAAACTAAATTAGTTCAAACAAAAGTTGATTCAATACCAGGAAACAAAGTAGAGGTTGAGAAAATAGAAAAGCTAGTTTCCTCCTTCCATAAAGAAATAAAAACTAGGTGAAAAAGTAGATCTACCATCTCCAAAAATGATGAAGGATCTGGTAGAAAAAAATTATTGACTCAGTTCTCTAAATTCTGATAACATTTCAGTTTTTCAAAATACTCAAAAATCTCGACAAATTAATCATTAATTTGTGACATTAATCTCATAATTCTAACTGGTGACACCTCTTTTCTGCATTTTCTGTTTTCTCATTTTGAAATACCTGGTCAGGTCTCCCATCAGTCAAGAGATAAATAGCTTGAGTTTCAGTATCAGCAAGAGCAATCTGGAGAGCTTTGAGTGTGTTTGTGGAACTTCCAACCTAAGAAACCAAAGAGAAAAAGACAAAGAAACAGCTATAAATACTAACAGTTCTTCACCTCTGTTTTTAAATTCATAATGACAGTGTACTGATTCAAGGGATAATACAGAACCAAAATGACTAAAAATGGTGAAAACATTTATGTCATATAGCTAACAAAAGCTAAGCAAGTGTCAAAGTAACATAAACCGGTACCAGATTGGTATTCAGTGCTTATGCAAACACAGAGAAGCAAAATGCTGGCAGCAGCAATCTGAGTTGTACAAGAAAAAGCAATCACTGAAAGACTATAAACAGATAGGAAGATGTAAGACAGAAGATGGATTGTCTTCATTTTTACCACTGATGCTCCTGCTTGCTAACTCATCACACTCCCTTGAAACACCTATTTTACTTAACCAAACAGTTCAAAAATTGCTCAAAAGAGTAACACAATTTTATTTCTCCAGAACTGCTAAAGGAGTTCCTGGTTTTCCAAACATATTTTTCCTGAGTCTCTGTCATCCACCCTCTTCACACATTAATGTAAGTATCATTTATATTTTAGCACAGAAAAGCTAGTTATAGCAACAAAACATGCCGAGCAAACCACTGCTGTGCTCACTAAAAATTTCCATTGGAGTAATACTAGCACTTTTCCTATGTCATTCACATACTTAGTGATCATGATCTGTCCTTTTTACACTAAATTCAATGAAATGCACTTAATGGCTTAGGAACCTAAGTCCTACATCTTATGTCTTCAACTGTCCACCTTTCAAACATTGTGTACAAAACCTTCTAAACTAAAGGTACATGTAAGGTTTACCAGTATGAAAAACTATTTTATCAAGTCTTAGTCTTTTAATGGAACCAAAGCAAAACCAAAGCAAAACCAAAGCAAAAAGAGAAGATTCTGTTTGTATGCTTGTATAACACCTGAGTACTGCTCTGGAGGGCAGTGAAGATTGTACTGGTGTAAGAAGAGATTCAGGATCCACGTATTTAATGCTTTACAGAAGATAACTGTAAATATCTAACATTGACCCATACATGCAAAAATATGCTGAGATAGCATTCTTTCTTCAGTCCTATGAACTGTGTTAAAATTTTTTCCAGTCTTCCCACCAGCAATCCATTCTATTAAAAAGGGCAAAGGAAATCAGGTGAAATGGAATAGAAGGTACATTCTGAGAGTTACTCTGTATAGCTACAAAAGAGTGTATAGGCCAGGCTACGTGATAGCTCATCTACTTAACTATCTTATTTTTTAATTCACAAGCAATCCTTACCAGTACCCACTCATAAGAAATAACCAGCCTAAGCTGTTAAATTTATCTAATACTCCTGATGTTTTAGAAATTATAAATTTTTTGACACATGGCTCATTATCATGTGTAAATTGGCCGAACTGATTTTAAACAAAACATCTTCTTTCACTTCTTTTCACATCATGGGAACATAGGGTGGATGCTGATGATGTGCAGAAAATAACCCTGTACCTTATGGTAAAAGCTGTTCATTTTAGGTTTCTCAATTGCTACTGTTACAAATAAATACCAGTTTTATCAGTGTTTAAACAACAATGACATATTTCAACTATATGACAGTACTACCACTAAAATTTTAAATGTTATCACATCTAAAGAATTTTTAGGGAGCAGTTAGTTACTGTTTATAGCTCAGCTTCCTTATTCATAATCTTGGGACCAAAGAGCATAAAATGGGATCAAAGGATCTACTCTGAATAATATCCCAGAGCAACCCTCTGTTCATTTCAGCTTCACTGTAAAGCCAGCTTTTTGATCTCAGATTTATGCGTGCAGTGCTTAAGAGGCTACAAGGTCAGCAGCAGATGTCATCCATCCCTGAAAGAATTTAGACTGTTCTTGTGCCTTCCTATTCCATTTTAGATATCTAGATCTGAACTTAGAATGAAATTTATAATCAAAAATTCACACTTTTATGAATGATTGAAAAGGCCATTCACTAATGCACATACCAGACGGTATCAAAATATGGTAGTTCAAAGTATTATTGAACTTGCATGATGCTGTATAACATACACTACTTAAACAGAGCCAAGTTTTCAAGCCTCAAGGAGGGCAGCAAAATAATTCTAAATAATCTCAGCTAAAAATGTTCAGATACTCAGGGAGGCCACACTAATATTTCTTCTTCTCTGTCTATTGGTCTGTGTTTTCTGAGAATACCAAGTTATTGATCTTGCTTTGTAGTCTCAGAGGTATTATGTAGCTTACCCATTTCCCTCATCCCCAGGAATTTCATATGAAGTCTGAGGAAGAGCTGTCATAATGCTGAGGAGTTTTATTACATTAACATGGGGGTTTGTACTAGAAAATATGTGGGATGTATTTATACCTTTGCATGACTGATTTTTAGTCCTGTATTCATAACATTGCTGTCCACATCTTACACATTAAATGGTCCTAAAGCTTAAAGTGTCAGAAAGAGAATACTGAGTAGATAGATGTTTGGTCTGAGTATGTTTGTTCTTATGTTTCTATGGCACATAAAGTTAGCTTTCTATCCATCAAAAGGGCCTAGAAATGCTTCTCCCGTTTGCTGGCTTTGGTCTCCTGTACCACCTCTGAGCTTTAAGTTAGCCAGCAACATCTCTCATCCATGCAGCAGCCCTGCAGCAAGAATGACAAATTTAAACACAGGGTATAGCAATGATATGATTCCTACAGAATTCAAATTTGCCAGTGCTGGCATTGTGGCTATTAAACATAGCAGGCTGCAAGTTGAATTAATATGATTTTTATAAACAGATCCATTGCTAAAGGATTATTACACCTGACAAACACATTGTATTCAGATCTACTTTATTTTATCCATCATCTATATTGTCAGCTTTCTCAAGTCAAATACTTAGTCTATGCAAAATCACTCCAGCCATTAAGAAAGTGGAGAAACATACACAACTTTGAACAAACACCCTTTGTAATAATTAGTTGCCATACTACCTCAAGCCCTTTTATCCAAAGCCAAGCGTCTTGCAAATTTTCCTCATTAACTTCAGCAAGCTTCTCTTGCCATGCCACTGCTTGGGCACTAAATTTCACAAAGTTAAATCTCTTCTTGTGCCTCAGTTGTTCCTGCAAGAGACAGCATCTGAATTTTACCTACTATATTACCTAAAAGAAAGAATACTGAAATACTGAGTAATATCAATAATTTTAATTATTATATAGTTAATTATATTATTACAATAAATTATTATAACATATATAATAAAAGTTATGGTGTACAGAGAGACATACAAAACCAGAGAAAATTATTGCTTGCAATTATTAAGATAGCTTGAAATTCCCAAAGTAAGTCTCCATATACTCATGTTTCTCAAACAATTTAAACAGCAAATGTGTAGGAGGGCATGAAAGACAGAGATGAAACTGGATATGACCAGTGGTGTAAGAAAAGGTTTATCACTGCTTACCACAGGAAATTGAAATCAGAAAGAAAGATATCACTTAAAGGAGGAGAACAAGAATCATATAAAGAGCACTGGCAGGGGGAACTAGGGCAGCAGGAGAAAATCAAGAATTTGATGAAGCTGCTTTTGCACAGAAGTTATAAGTCAGGGAAGATTTGTGCAAGTAAGTACAAACATTCAGAGACTGAAGTCTTTGCCTCCCTTTCATCACAATTTTTATGCAGCTTCCTGTGAAACCTTCTGGCACAGTATCTAATATATTTCTAGTGATGATCTGCTTAGAGGACCACAAGAAATTATGTCCTGTGACTTGAGCACTTAGCTCAAAAGCCTGTCACAGTTTTAATTTTTTTAGTCCTACCAATGATTGCTATCGTGGCCAGACTGAATTTTCATCTCAGCTATTTATTTTAGGACTAAAGAAATTTAAGATTAATCATGTATCTGAAATATTAATGTAAGCTTAGGTGATATCATTGTAGACTTCTAAAACTAGACAAGACAAATCCTGTCTTAGGTGTGTCTCCCAGTACTCTCAGCTTTTGTGGTACTCCTGCACTTTGCCAGTCCCTTTGCAAAGTTCTGAGTCACTGTAAGATGCAAGGAAGTTCAAAACGTTCTACACCCTCTATTGTAGAAGTATGAAAGTGAATCTAGAACACGCATTACAAATCAGAACAAGCCAATGGAATTGGATGACACTGCTTAAAAGTAAAAATGAAAATGCAATGTTTCATTGCATTGCTTGTTTTTGGTTTGGGATTTTTTTTTTGGTTTTTTGTTTGCTTGTTTTTCTATTTTTTAGAAGGCAGGTGGCTTGAGAGAAAGAACTACTTAAGCCTTTATAATGTTTAATATTTTCTCTATTTTTTTTCAAATAGTTGTATAAATGAGGGGGAAATAGAAATTCTTAACTGAAAAAATGAGCACATGAAGAAAAATCTGAATATTTTTATGAAGCTGCTGTTTTTAAAAAACTTTTAAAAAATTAAACAAAAAGTACAGTAACAACCATCCAGAAAATATCAGTTGACTCTAAAATGCTCCTCAGCCTTCAGAGTCATCCCTTTATCATACCTGCATTAGCTGAAATATTTTTTCCTTCACCAGTGGCAGCTTGTTTTTCATAGACTGGGATGTATCAATAAGAATACAGATATCATCTTCAAACACATTCCCAAAAAGCCCTCTGCTTCCTTGTTGAAGCCACTTTATTCTGGGGGAGGGAAAAGAATATCAAAACCTGTTCTGTAACATCTTTGGAGCTCTGTGTATCAGAATCTGAAAGGTAGGACCTTTTTGTCACTGCTGTATTTCTCATTCTTTTTTCCTAAACACCATTAGTAACTACTGTCAGAAGCCCTTGATGAATCAGTCCCCTCTCCCTGCATAACATCACAAGATATTTTTAGTTGGTTATTTCAATAGAAATCTGGAGACAGACAAAAAATAAAGACAAAATAATGCAGCACCTGTATGAAGGCAGTTAACAGGTACTTTGGGCTGGGAAATCCAATGTGGAAGGAACTATAACTACAGTCTCTATTTTCCAGACTCATCCCAGTAAATCATTCAAACCTATACTACTATGCCTCCCTTCTCAGGAAACCACTTGAGAACCTCTTCTCAAGCACTTAAGCTCTTCTCAAGGAACTTGAGCACTTCGAAGAGTCTTAATATAACACAGATGCTTCAACAGTTTGTGGACCTTGAGCCTTAAATACAGTTAGATTTACATTTTAAGCAGGACTGGAGTGTGCCCGCCAGTTAAAAACATGCATACATACTGCTCTGCACAAGAACATTTCCTCAGTAATGGCTGCAGAAAGTCCAAATCTGATTTCTCTTGAGAGTCACAAAATACTCATCTACACTGAAAAAGAGACATTTAACACATGGAACATCATGGCCCTGGGAAAAATATTCATCTCCACAAAAGGTTTCAGAAAAAATTATATCATGGAAATTTAAGGATACTGCTATAGTAGCTACTGATAGCTATTTTGTCATTAGTTATTTTTCCCTAAGTGTTTGATGAGGTCTGCCAAGACTTTTTAAAATTTAGATGAAACATTAAAAACAGCAAGCCCTTAATCTTGACTTGGATTTCAAAAATACATACTCACCAAAACTGCTTATCTCAAACTTTCTTTTGACAGTATGTAAAAGTCATCCTAAATACAGTAACATGAAGATAAACCAGAAGGAATAACAAAATTCTGTTTGACCTTGCTAAATATAATCAGCCTGCTATATTTTTGGTAGGAAAGGAGCAATAAAAAGAAGAATTCACCAATATGAATGAAAGCTCACATCCTGCTTTTTTTAGTGAGGCATCTTGTTGTCCTAATTTACAAACGAGAGGGCAACATTTATTTTTTCTGTTCTATAATACGCTTTCCTTAGACTGCCTATTATTTTGTAGCTGTCATACAAAACCTAAGGGTCCGTATGGTTGCAGAAATGTAATTTAGGCAGCTAGTTTGAGCAGTGACCTTCTGATCATGTGCATTACTTAATAGCTCATGCCCTGCCTCTGATCTAAACTGTTCAAACTTGTCTTCAACATAAAATTGCAAAAAGGGCAGATAAGCACTGTAAGTACAGGCACAAGCCTAGCTGCTCTTCTTGGTGTCACGAGGGATCCTACGTACACAGGAGAATGTTTACTAAGTTTTATTGATGATTCTTGAAGTTGTCTGCCACCTTATAGTCCCAATACTTTTTGGCACTTTTAGCAGTAATTAAAAAATGTGCAGACTGACTTTCACATCTGTGTTTCTGAAGGAGAACAAAAGTTCAAAACCTTCATCAGTTTTCTTCTATGGCTACTATGGAATCCAACATACAAAATTCTTTTTTAAAATAGACTTTTGGCTTAGTACTGCTGCTGTCAGTTTACCAACCACTTCAACTTATTATGACAGTAAATGTCAAATTTTTCAACACTCATGTAAAGTGATCAACTTGATTTTATGTGAAAGAACACAAACCTTCCTTCCACTTGTCTGAGAGCTGTCCTCATTTTCTCTTCATACTGCTTATACTTTTCTGTAGTAACATATACATGAACTATAGATCCATCTTTCCAGAGGGTATGTATAAACTTGTCACAGTATCTTGCATGAATTACCTTCCTCTTTGTCTCCTACAACAAAGAAAATCACATTTCATGTGGAAAACATATTATTTTGAAGTGTCTTTAATATTTGGGGAACAAATTTTAAAGGTACATGCTTGTTGCACATGAAGAGGACTAGAAATAAAGATGGGTAATGGTGGTCACAGAATTTGCTCCTAGAAAGATTCAATAGAAATTGGTTTTGGTTTTGCAGCTAGCAAAAAACAGAAGCTTAGCAAACAGTGCAATGGTAAAGCCTGAGAAAAACAAATAGAAGACAAACTAATCCGAATTTTCTTAAGGAACTGGAAGACACTGCAGCAGCTGAGACTAACACATCCTCTAGAGATAACAAGAAATCTTTGACCTGCCCCACAGAAATACAAAGAATACCAAGGCAGTGCTTAAGCCAGACCTGCGTCTTCCTTTTAGATTTTATGAGAACCAGCAAGGAGTCCTTAAAGAAGTCATTCTCAAAAAGCTCTTTGAAACATTCTTCTTCTATGTCTCAATAATTAATAATCTGATTTTAACAGAAACTACAAAACAACAATGCCATACACTATATCATGAATTTATCCATTAACCAAATTTTCCAACTTTAAAAGAAGAAAACAACTCACAGGACATGAGGGAAAATTAACAATACTCACAGCATCAGTTTGTGAACATTCATTCTCTGGTTTAGTTTTTATGTCAACAAGCCCACCTACATGGCGGAAAACACAATCAGCAAGTGCATCATGCAGCGTGAGCTTCTGAGCTTTCAAGCCATACTTCTGCAACCACTTCTCAGAAGTCAAATATTTGTCAGTTATATGTTTTGGTAATGGATGATCATCTTTGTTCACTAATAAAGAAAATAAACAAACAACATCTGTATAACATGGTTCATTTTGGATAAGCTGTTTTCAAAACAGACTCTGATACTGGAATCAAAATTTTCAAACTTGCTCTGACAGAACTGGAGTGAACCGATATTTCGGAGTGATTTGTAATAGTCTACACTTTGGCTGTAGGGTTTTTTCTTATCAGACAACTCGCTGCAACAAATTCTTTTGTAACTGGAAAAAAAAACCCACCAGAAGACGGGGAGCAAAGACAATAAATAGTGAGAAGATCAACATACAAAAGGAATTTTCTCAGTAGTTGAATTACAAAATGGCAGAAAGTATTCCTGAATAAGATGTCTAACTTCAAGGAGAATAATTTGAGAAAATGAAACAACAGAAGATACAATTAAAAATACAGTTAAGACCATTAGTTAACATTAATGTTTTTAGAGATGGCTATTTAAAGTAAAAGGCAAACTACAACATCATATTGTTTTACAAATTTTCTAAGGACTGTCTTAAGGTAAGGCACTGCACATCTCTGGACACCAGTATAGTATACAGATAATACAGACAAAATAATAGCATGCAGGACTCTCCACTCACTCATCACTATCCCAATAAACTACACCTAAACCAAATGACAAGGAAGTGGGTCCCATTGCAGGGTGAATTTATTTTCTTACACTTTAATTTTGGTGGACCAAGGTGGTATAAATGTGTACTCAGTTTAGATGCAGCTACGATGACAACAGTAGTAAGATTCTGAGGCTGTAAATAAACCTTTGGAGGCATTTACAGCCCTCACAGACAGAGAGATCAGCCAACATCAGAGGAGGTACACAATCAAAGCCTGCTCATGTGGAAACCTTTGCTTTATGATTGCTTGTAGTCCTTAGAACAAGTGTCACAAATGTGCTCACAAAATTTTGAAAAAAAACCTGTTGTTTTCTTTCTTACATATGCTTTGCATAGAGCATCTCCATTTTTGCAGGACTGAGTAGCTTCTCACTGTCTCTTGTTAAAGCCTTCCAGAACAGAACTTCAGAAACCAGCTATGCTTCTGTCTCCAGAGTGCTTATTCTAAATTGTTTTCAAACCTCCATCCTTAACAAAAATGCAACCCCTCTGCTTTTTCTCTTTATGTGTAATGAACTAGCTACCAGGTTGGAGGCTATCCCAAGAAGACTGTGATAGAAGAGGGATGAGATATTTCCCCTGCGCTATGTAGAAAAAATGGAAGATTTACTGGTTCAGGCAGACAGGAAGCGATCACTAAAAGAGACCAAATAATTTCCATATTCTAAAATCCAGGTAACTTCTAAACCTTGTCACTGGTAAACTAAAAATGTGCGTTTCAACGTGAGCTGTTAAAGTTTAGCAAGTCTAAGCCATAGAAAACAGAGATTTGTATTGGAAAGTTTTAAGCAATCCTAAGTGTAGATAACAATTATAGGTGCTATACCCTGCATACAGACATTTTTGAGAAAAATCATCCCCAAACTGATGTGCAATCAAAACTGTTCACAAAAAGATGTTGATCATTAATATAATGGCAGGTATCTTGAAAGAAACATAAATGATACCGTCTTGAGAAGCAGACTGCTCAGATTCTGATAACATTTTCTGAACTTGTCTCACTGTAATCTTGGCTTCCTCCAGCTCCTTCCAGATCAAAAACACATCTTCACAGACACCAGCTACTGCAAAAGAAATATTAGATAGAATTTCACATTTTTATAAAATTTCCCCTTTTTGTAACTCCTCAATCACAACAAAGTCATTGGTGTACCCAGATCTTTCCATACAACCTTGTTTTCTTGAAGTCCCATTGCAATGACAAGTGCTGTTTTCTGACAGACTTAAAAAAGGGCTCAAACCTGGCTCCAGGATACAAGAGGTGCTTAGTATGTTGGAACTAACCTCCAAAGCTTGCCACAGATTGTTCTCACAGTGGAAGCAAATATATTTTAGCACTCTCAGAAAATAATGAGGAAAATCCACAATGAAATTCACTTGTTGCCCTTGGACTTCATTGCAAAACTTGGGTCCAAATAGTAAATCTAGTTTTGACATTTTAAAGAGAAGTCATTTTTGACTCTTTCCATTTGCTATAGTACATAATTAATTTTATTTAAATCTTCTTTCCCTGATGACTATCTGATGAAATTTTGCTAAAGATAAATTTATTTTTATCCCAACAATTCTAAACAGTCATAAAAAAATGCTACCAAAAAAAAATTTACTATCAGGCTATATTAAAAAAAAAAAAAAGAAAGATCCAAAGCTGGAACTGAGACAAGGTTTTTTTAATTTCAACAGATACGTCTTTCTTGATGAAAATAATAAATACATTTATTTCTTTCATAAAAGAAACTACTAAAATTGAGACACCTAAGCAGTAGGACTGCTATTAACAATGTGTTAAATTAGGTTACTCTCAGAGTTTAAATTGCAATATAGGACAATGCAGAGAAACTATGTGCAGTGTTACAGTAAAAATATAAAAGAAACTGAATCATCAGCCATCCTAACCACAAATACAGGTTAGAAACTCTGATCTATTGCAGATCACAACCTATTAATGAATTGCACGTAAAAATGCTGAGCAAGGCAAACTATATCTTATCATCCAGTGGTTCAGCTGATATGCAATGATGGTTCACTGTATGAAAGATAAGATATGCCAACTTGTCTACTAAAGTAGGCTGCCAGTTATTTGATAAACTTTCTGGGAAAAAGAATAATAATAATAATAATAATAATAATAATAATAATAATAATAATAATAATAATAATAATAATAATAATAATAATAATGTTATACAAATAAGAACTCAATTTTAATTGTGAAATGCTTTCAGTTTCCAAGAAATATTTTGAATTGTGTTATTGCACACTGCCATCTCCTGGGACCTTCCTGCATTTCAAAACATCTGTTGCAGCCATTAGGATAAAGATCAACATTTCCTAAATCACAAAAAGCTTCAGAAGTAAGGCAGATCATTCCACAACATAAAACACAAAAGAGAGAAAAAAAACCCTCAGTCTGTAATCTCAGTCTGTTAAGATTGATTAAGAAAAATATTCTTTTCAAATATTTCTGAAATAATTCAACTTTTATTTTACAAGAAATCTCTCCCCAGAAATGCAAACGCATGCATTCACATCACACATAAACACAGTTCTAAGTTTAAGGCTGTTAAGAATGCAATTCCAGTGGTGCCATCTCCAACTAAATCTGGATATCCTCCACAAGCTGTCAATTACTGTCACCCAAATTTAATTTTATTAATATTTTTAAAGTGATGTTTGAAAATATTGAAAGAAATATGCACACTTCAACTACCTCTAAAACAATAACAATTATATCATTGTGTTGCTTCATTTCCCCTTAAACTGATGCTATGGACTTATAAGTTTAACAGGATTATTGTTACTGTCCCCCTTACGGTAGATGGAATTAATTGATATTACATGAGAAGGTATTTTTTTCCTCATTTATAATTGTAGCACAGCAAAATAAAACTGCATGCCTTTTCAAAGCAAGTATGTTTGATATCACTTGCTACACAGGACAACTGCAAGCACCAAGAACAGCACATTGTGAAATACCAGTTGCTTAAAACTCTTTTTTCCAACAACATTTTTCCTGGATTCAACTGAGAGAGAAGCTTGCAAGTAGTGATATCCACAGCAGCTTTCTCTCTATATACAGGAAATTCAGCTGCACCTCTACCTTGGCCTCTTTGCTCCTACAGCTAAGGAGGAGTGGCAAAAAAAAACCTGTGTCTTTCAAAACTGAACCCCCAAAATCAAAACCTACATACACACGTAAGGCATAACATCTCCCAGATGTTGCTCTCAGCTGTGGCCCATCCCTCAAAGCACATCTCTGATAAATGACCAAGAAAGCAGGAACCTCACTTTGGTTTAAACTCCCTTTGCTCACATCTCATTTTTGGAGACCACCAACCAAAGAAAGTCACCCCGCTGGAGGGTGCAGTTCACAATCACTCCAAGCCACTGTCTCTTGTACACACTCAGACACCCATGTCCCAGGAATAATCTTGTCTTAAAAAATTACTTTTTCCAGGAAGAGAAAGGGCCCTCCTGGTCCCCCTGGCCAAGAAGCACTTTGCCAGCTGCTCTGGGTGGCAGTGTAACAGCCAGACCTCTGGGGACCCCCTGGTTCTGATTCAAAACCCACCCTGCTTCAATGGCAGCAGGGTGGCCACCAGTCACACACGAGAGGACCGGCCTGAACATCCTGCTGCACACGTCCAGCCTGCCCAGCTCCCTGGGCTCTCTCTGCAACCATCTTTCTGCTCTGGAAAAGAGAGGCCCTAGAAAAGAGGAAGAGGATGAGGAAAGTTGTGGAGAGAGCCTGTGGCAAGGAGCAGAAGCATTTTGCTGACACCCATGAATTGAGAAGCAAGATGGCAGACCTAAGCAAAAACACAACCACACTTGCACATGTACACGGAAACTCATTTCCATTTCCCAATTATTTAACTGGCAGACAATCTGAAAAGAAGCAGCTTTTCCACATGTACCCTCCCCTAAGCAAACTCATCCTGTTTGACAAGTCACTGTAAACTATTTGATTTCCATATTGCTGGTGAAAAAAATCCTGTATAATTTTTAAAAAGCCTACAAAATATCCAAAATATCTACAATATCTTTGAAACAGGAAGCAAATCCCAATACAAAAGCAAATCCCAATACAAAAGCAAATAATGGAAAACAGTTGTATTTCTTACTTGTCTGAATATCTGACTTAAACTGTGGAAGCAAGTAAATCCAAATGAAATAAGATCTATTTGAAAATGAATTTGCTGGCAAGGGAAGATGGGGAAGTTGATTTTCTTCACTGCCAGTCCCTTTCTTAGCCTCCACGTGGCAGCAGAACACAGCAATATACCCTTATGCATTGATTTTTTAAATCTCCACTTAGAGGGGGATGAATGAAGGCACAAAGAAGCATAAGAGGGTAGTCCACAGCTTTTACCTGCATACCTGCCAGGTCAAACAGCACTGAAACTGGAGCCCAATCCTTCCCCTTTTCCACTGGGCAAATGGACAAAGCAAATGAACTTTGTAACCCATGTGGTATCACAGAACAGCTATCTGCATCACTCTCTACACATTAGCAAAGAGATTTGCCAGGCCAAGGTTAGGCTGATGAGACCAGAAAAAGCACACGGAAGAAAAAAGCAGAGGCAATGATCTTTGCTGCAGCTTCTAGGTAAAGTAGCTACTCTTCAGTCATTATCCTGGCTCTCCAAAGGGAGGGTTCAATCTTTCCCATGTCAGTGTACATAAACAGTGCAGAGTTCATTGACTTCAATGTCATACAGGAGAATGACGCTCTTATGCTTCCCTTTTTTACACACAACAACCTGAAATATTCCCTAACAACTTTCCCTTAATGTAAAAAATCAAGCACTCTTAAGAACAGAGCCTTACACTGTTCACAAGGAGGTCAGACACTTCTCTGTTTGGATTTATCACATCAGTAAAATCCTGATTTCAGTCCATTTGCATTTTCTCTACACATGCCAGCTCATCTATTCCACCACAGAGAAAGCACTACACAGAAATTTATTGTTTCTATGTCAGCCACGGAGGACCCTCTATTCATTTCAGGATCTAGTTCAAAGCACCATTGCTTTTCAAGCCCTATGTAGCACTTATCACCCTATTACTCCAAGCAGATGACATAAATGTTCCCTTTTTCAGAAAGACATCTTTTCTCCACAGTTTCTGCCATTCCTTGCTCTCTATATCTTCAAGTTCCTACTTGTCACCTCCTTTCCACTTATAATTTTAACTACATAACAAGATTGCTTAATTCTACAGCCTTTTGCAGATGAATAAACTGCACATAGAATGTAGGCAGAAGCGATAACAGGAAAATTAGTGCTGGATGGGAGATATTATCACACTGGTGAAATTAGGTTTTATGTAAAAGCATTTCTCTGCCATAAATAAATCTGAGGCTGCCAGCATAAGGACCCTAATTCTTTAATGGTTTACACCTGTTTTGATCTCAAGCACTCACTCAAAATGAGTGCAAAAAAATTCAAAATTGTCAGTTTCTCATACTTGCTTTCTAAATGTCTGCTCAAGATGCAAAATAGGAGAGAATTGAGCTCTTATCTAAAATTTTAAATAGTTCACTTCTGACTTGTTTTGGTTAAGCAGATGAAAAGGAGTGAACATAGAGATATCCAATATTTGCAAAATGCTCATATTCATTGGATACCCAGAAAGGATCAGATGTCGTTAAAATAGCTTTTCCAGTCCATCTGACATGGTTATGAGTTTCAGCTTCCAGCTGTTGCATTTGTGGTACAAAAAGGAACATAATCAAAATATTCCTGTGCCTCCCTTTAGTTTTCAGAAACACCACATTTGAAGGATTAAATCTCTGGTTCATTCTCTATTTATTTCCTTGTGTAGTTTATGCCACACATCCAAGAACCAGTTTCAGAGCCCATTAGTGAGTAATCGACACTTTTATTTTTATTGCCTTATTACTGCATCCTTGAAGGAGTCTCTGAACCAAGAGAAATCAGACACAGACCAGAATAATGTCTTCAATGTGTTCTCTTTTCTGAAAGGATTTAAGATTCTGCATATGACTGAAACACTCCAATTGGCTGCTAGTGATGTCAGGACTGTGCTTGTAATACCCAGTAAATGCAGAAAGCTAATTGTGTTTCTTTTTAATGTGTAAATTCTACTTCATAATAGGAGTAAGACACGACAGACAATGCACTTCAAGGGGATTACTGCCCTTTTGACCGATTAAAGCTATTCAGCTTTCAGCTTTAGAAACAGTGGTGAGGAAGTAATTTCAGCCATATAGGAGCTCTAGGCTCATCTATTGAAACAGGCTGATTGCCCTAGGGGAAGAGGGAGGCAGCTCCCCCCCATGCACACCCCCAAATGTGGTACAGCAAGCAAGTACTCACAGCAGACTGAAGGCAATCATTATACTGCTCTGCATTAGTATGAAATGATAGCATTTTGAAGCAGGCTCTGCAGTTGGTTTCTAAACTCTGCATGGGTGAGGCTTGAATGTCCTTTCACAACTCAAAAAAGCCAGTGATACCTCACTCCTTTATTTCTGGCTCCCCACAAGAGTTCTTTCTCTTGTGCTGTTATAACCACGGTCCTAGTGAAGGATATGTTAGTATGCAAGAAACTTCATTACAACCCAAATATAGGCCAGTCAGTCCAAGATTGACAAATAGCCTTATATGAGACACCAAATCCACCTTATGCTATACATTTCCTAACAGTGAGAAGAGGTTAACATTGTTATACCTTTGGGGCAACACTAATGCCCCCAGCACAAAGGGAGAGTAGAGGGCAGGTGTGTTGAGCCACTAGACTAAAGGCATCTTATGATTCCTGATGTCTAAAAGAAGAATTTATTTTGTTTTACTTTCCTGCTGAGAAAGACATCAGATTTGACACACAAAGCCTCACTTCACATCACAAGCCTCTCACCTCCCACCCTGGCTGAAACCACAGTCCAGTCCCACTGAACACTTACCCAGAGGAAGTAGCACTGTGACTAATACGAAACACACTGAGCTTTCTGCCCAGCTCCACCCACCAGTGAAACTGTTTATTTTGGCTGTTTCCTCCTGGTATTTTTTCTACCAATCCTCCCACCACCACTTTGCACGGCCTTCTCCATGGTCACTTTATGGTCACAGGCTTTTTGCCTGTCTTTGTGACAAATTCTTGGGACAAGCAAGTAAACCTCATGGAAATTTAATCCCCTTATATTACCTTGAGCTTGGCCTATATTGATGTTGGCTGTTGCATTATGTGGTCTGCTGCACTATTCCTCTTCCTTTTTACCATTTCTCCATACATTTCCACAAAGTCACTGGCATAAGCACACAAGTGCTATTCTTCACATTCCTAAATAAATTATCTTCTCCCTTTTTTTAATTTTTCTTTCATTCTCACATGCACATCCTCTACTGTCTTCATTTTTCTCTTTTCCTTGCCCTCTCCTTCCCACCCAGAGAATTTACATTTCCAGACCACTCCTGTCCTCACTCCACCCACACCTACATGTTTATTTTAATTTTACACTCATCAAGTTCCTAAACTACATTTCCATTCTGACATCTCACTGATAATATCTTGGGGTTTATACTGTCTACCTAGTGGCATTCGCCCTTTCACTTTTCCAGGGTTCAGGGCAATTAATCTTTTTCCATCCTCTTCATATTTTAGTGCAGGTCCAATAGCATCTCTACAGTTATTCTTCTCAGCAAAAGCATGGAATCTGTAACACAAAATGAATTTCCACCAGTACACAAAATACATAAATATTTCTCTAATTTTAAAGATATGTTTTTCACACATACATCTACAGAATTATATCTAAAGCTTCAACTACAATAAGATTATTAATATTATCAAACTTTTTATATATATTTAAGTCCTTTCTGAAGTCTTCTCTTGTAGAATATTCTTTTTTTATATATTACTTACTGCAAGGCACCTCACACTTCAATTTCCTGGAAATCTATTTTTAATTAATGCTTTTAAGAGGCTGAGCAGGCATGTAATTTGAGATGTCTGAGATGACACTAACACCTTTTTATCAGATTATCCTCCCAGCTGAAAGCCTAACAGGAACATTTATTTCATTATGGACATACAAATCAGGATGACAAGCAGACTTCATTTATCCTCATTGCCGAAACAGAGAAGCTCTCTGAGCAAGAAAAAGATGCAGTTCTAAAACAGAACTACACTAGAAACAGGTTCAAGGCATGAAAAGCCCATGAACTCGGCTGTTCCTGTGGGAAAGCTGACTTAAACTTATATACAGTTATTGGGCAAATATCCACCAGCAAGTTATTAACTGGCCTTGTAAGTCTCTGCACAAAAGCTAGACTCATGCAAAAAGACGACAGTGAGAATAGTATCAAATAAAACAATTCCTCTCAGCTCCCTGCCACAACCCTTTTTGCCTCTGTCTCTAGCATACAAGAAACATTCACTTTCATTTAATAAAGAAGGTATAAACACTGCCAAAAGAAAATGAAGGATAGTGACTGACAGTGTACCTGGCACCATAGAGGTACCATGCTTCTAAGTGACCACAATCATTTTAAGCACACATCAGACCAGAGCAAACATAATACTTTCCCACAGTCTTGTTTTTGGCAGACGCTCCCATCTCCTAAAAGCTATTTCTAAACACAGATGGCTATAAAAGAGCTAAGCAGCTGCCATCTTACCAATTGCTCTGCTGTCATTTGGGAGATTTCTACTGTTGGAGGGCTTCCCACTCTTGCACAAACAACAGTGAAACAGAAAAAGCTAGCAGCCATTTCACAAGTCTGTAACTGTATGGTGACTTCTCTTAAGCAGAGAAACACCTACTGACTCCTACTGCCTTCCTGCTGTTGAGGATGAGTTTGGTCTTGTGGGTTTTGTATTTGTTCATTTGTTTTCCTTATTTTGATAACAGAATCAAGATTTAAGTTGTCTTATCCATTTCTACTGAAGGCTGATTCTCACCACATGGCTGATTCCCAGGATCAAGCAGTCAGCAAGCCATGTGGAATATATTAATTTCCACCAACCATACCAAAAGGATGCTAGAGAGCATGTTACAAAACTGCTTTTCCACACAACCAGGCCCGAAGAATAACATCCATTAATAACATCAATTTTCTATTATTCTATGAGCTGCTCATTTAGGACAGGCATTTCCTTTTTAGTACATGTCTGTCTCTATGGCACTTGACTCAACAAAACTCTAGATCTTTTCCTGGTGCTTGTGGATACTACTAATGTACAAAGTAACACAATAAAAAAACTTAGTTTATGTGTGACCATTTCCCCTGAACAGTGTTCCAGACTTCAAGAGAGAGGCAGATGGCAGAAAATTTTGGGCATAAAAAGGGAATAGCCTTTCTGCAAGCCACTGAGAAAATACACAGAAAAATGCTGCATTGAATAGGGCCTGCATTCTAGTCGTATCTCTTAAGACTATTTCCCCATTCCCAGATCACTTACTGAACTGCTTTGTCTCATTTTCCTCATGGATTATACTCAAGTATGTCCCAATACCGTTCCTATCAGCAAAGAACTTCATGAGTACTGAAATCTTTACTGTCCTTCTTTGTCATACCTGCCAGAGGCCAAGTGGCTCAACTCCTTCAGAAAAATAATAGTTTCATCTTCTCTAGCATTGAAAGACACCGTGTTGACTGGACAGGAGCCATCTGAAACCTTTTCAAGGAGTAGCTGTTTTGTGTCTACTGGAACATCCCCCACAGCAAAGTAATAAACAGCTTCAACCTTTCATTAAACAGAAAAAAAAAGGTAATTGGAAGACATTGTTTTACATAAATGCCTGACACTTATTCAAGCACTGTCCTGTGCTCAGTATTGGTAGAAAATTTTGGTAAAACTGATGTATTACTTGGACTATAAGATTTTCAGACCTTTGTTTCTTCCTCTCATTTCTGCTAGTAATTCAAAGGAAGGCTACACAAAAGTTCCTCAAGTGAGAGAAGAACCTATTCCCCAGTCCCTGGGTCTGATTCTGCCCAATGCAAGCCTCTTTCCACAGAAGTTAACTGAAGCCAAAGAGAGGTGTAAGGAAGGACAACTTAGTCAGAAAAAGGCTCTGTGCCATATGCCACTTTTATCAAGAGACATGCTATGTTGATGTCTTGCCAGGGCTGAGAAGTAGGAGCTTTATACCAGACATAGTTTTACTGGCAGCATGTATTCTGAGGTTAGGAAAGATGGCAGTAAAGGGAGGTGATTTTACTGTTCTGCTCTGCACTAGTGCAACCTCACCTTGAATATTGTGTGCAGTTCTGGCCACTGCAATATAAGAAAGACACTAAACTATTGGAGAGTGTCCAAGAGAGAGCAACAAAGATGGGCCTTGACAGGAAGCTGTATGAGGAGTGTCTGAGGTCACTTGGTCTGTTCAGCCTGGAGGAGACTAAGGGGAGACCTCATGGCAGTCTACAACTTCTTCATGAGGGGAAGAGGAGGGGTAGACACTGATCTCTTCCGTGTAGTGACCAGTGTGGGAATGGCATGAAGCTGTGTGAGGGATGGTTTAGGTTGGATATTAGAAAAATACTTCACCCAGAGGGTGGTTGGGCATTGGAACAGCCAGGGTAGTGGTTACAGCACCAAGCCTGAGGTGAAGAAGCATTTGGACAACGCTCTTAGACATATGGTGTGATTTCTTTGGGATGGTTCTGTGCAGGGCCAGGAGTTGGGTTCAATGATCCTGTGGGTCCTTTCCAACCTAGCACATTCTGTGATTCTGTGATTTTTTTGAATGCTGTTTCTGGTATTTACGGATGATTTGTATTTTTTATAGTTCCCAAGGCAGAAGGAGCTTGGCATGTTTACTATAACCACACACACTTATATTCTGAAAATGTTATTACAAGAAGAGAGAGAAGCTAAAAAATGTCCTTTAGTTATTGCTTGAATATTACATTATGAGGGATTTTATGCTACCTGCACTCATCCATGTAACCATCCTCATGGTAAGTACATTTCTTGAATGTTCACCATCATTAAAAACAAATGCAACAAACATATCCCATGATGACTTTCAAGACAATATGTGCAGTATTATCAGTTCTATATCATGGTACATACCAGCTGATAAATACCTGATAAATCATTGTTTAACTGAAAAAAATACATTTGAATATACTCACCTCTGTGCCCAATATGGAGCGGATCATCCTGGAAAATATGCTAGGCACATGGAAAGTAAGAAGCCAATACGGCTTCACTAAGAGCAAACCATGAATGATAAATTCGGTAACATTCTACAATGGGGCTACTGACCTCATCTACCCGGATGAGAACCTCATCTACCAGATATGCATCAAGCATTTGACACTGTTCTGCATGACACTCTTGTCTCAAAATTGAAGAAACGTGGATTTGGTGGAGGGACCACTCAGTGGATAAGGAATTGACTGGACTTGCACCCCAAGAGTTAGGGCGAGCAGCTTGATGTTGAAGTGGAATGTCCATGGTGCTCCTGAGGGGTCAGTATGGGGACTGGCACTTTTTAACATCTTTGTCAGTAATAAGGGCAGTGGGATTGACGGTACCTTCAGCAAGTTTGCCAGCACCACCACTGGTGTCTGGTGCCCTCAAGGGAAGGGATGCCGTCCAGAGGGACCTGGACAGCCTGGAGACATAGAACCAAGGGAACCTCATGAAGTACAAGGCCAAGTGCAAGGTCCTGCTTCTGGGTAAGGGCAATCCCAAATTCAAGCACAGGCTGGTGGAGAATGGATTGAGAACAGCTCTAAGGAGAAGGACTTGTGGGTGTTGGTTGATGAGAAGTTCAACATGACCCAGCAACGTGTGCTTGCATCTCAGAAATCCAACTATATCCAAGGCTGCATCAAAATCAGCACGGCCAGCAAGGCAAGGGAGGTGCATCTGCCCCTCTACTCTACACCCATGAGACCCCTCTTGGAGCACTGCATCCAGCTTTGGGACCCCCAACATAAGAAGGCATGGATTTTCTGGAGCAAGTCCAGAGGAGAGCCAGAAAGATGATCTGGTGCTGGAGCACCTTTCCTATGAAGACAGACTGAGATAGTTGGGGGTGTTCAGCTAGAGAAGAGAAGGCTCTGGGGAGATCTTATAGCCTTCCAGGACTTAAAGGGGCCTACATGAAAGCTGGAGAAGGACTTTTCACAAGAACAAGGGAAAACAGCCTTAAACTGAAGGATAGTAGATTTAGATTAGATGCAAGGAAGAAATTATTCACTATGAGGATGTAAGGCACCGGGAACAATTGTCCAGAGAGGTTAGGAATGCCCTATCCCAGAAAGTGTTCAAGGCCAGGTTAAATGGGACTTTGAGCTACCTGGTCAAGTGAAAGGTGTCCATGCTCGTGGTAGGGCTGTTGGAACTAAATGGTCTTTAAGGTCCCTTCCAACCCAAACTATTCTGTGACTCTATGATTCTATGAATATGACTAGTATTCCCAGGATGTGCACCACAAAAGACAACCATTTGAGTCTGGGATGGCTCTGAGGAAATGTCTCTGCGCTCACATAATTTCATGCAGTAGTAAAGCAAATTCAGTATCACCTACAAGTGTGCTCATATATTTCCACTATTGACTTGGATACTGATATGTATTCCAGCTCCCTGAATAATTTCTGCACTTCAAGCTTCCTCCTTCATGTACCTTTTGGCACCTCCTCAATACTGGAAGATATCTCTCCCAACCAGCAACCTAATTTCAGGCTGGATCAGGCAAACTAACAAAGCAGCACCTTGCCATCTTGAACTTCTCTTGAATCTTGAGGAGTGAGACACTCCATGTGGAAGACAGGGGCCATAGCTATAGAGTCCATTTATTTGGGAGCAAGCAAGCAAGACCAAGTGATAGCTCTAGACAAATACTAAAGGTAAAGAGAAAAATGAATGTTTTTTATTAAAGTGCAAGATTAACAAAATACTTATTGGCTTTAGAAAAAGGTACACAGAAACAAAAAGAATTAACTCTTACACTAACCTGTGTTTTAGTTCAGTTTTACAAAGTTCCCTGTCTGCCTTCTCCAGTTAAAAAGCTATCTGAGCCTGCACACAGGTCTCTCAGATGAGACTCAGTCCTTGGACAACTCCATGTTCCTACTGCTTTTGTTGAAGAGCCTCCTGGCCCAGAAGAATGCACACATATTGCATAAGCATTTTTCCCTGTGTTCCTTCAGATTCACATCTTCTCCCCCTCCCCTCTAAGAAAGCCATTAATTCATAAACTTGATATTCAACAAAAATAGAAATTTTCACACTTTCTTCAAGGGATTCACTGCCTGCCTCTGCAACTTTTTAAATGCTGACATTTATTGGGCATAGCTGATATAGAACTAACTCCTCACAAGAAAATTTTAAAAAACTATGAACAACCAATAATTTGCTCTACTTAACTACAAATCCAGCAATGACATACTATATAGGCTAGTGGGGAAAGGTTAAAACCTTTCAAGTGAGTCCTTCATATTTTGGAAATTCTAATTTATAAATCTAAACAAGCAAACAAACTTCATATAAGAACAGAAAGGAGAACAACATGAACAGCTCTTCACAGTCTTGGTGGGGAGGTGCTTTGGATGAGTGATCCATACTTCATGGAGTGGCACCTGTACAGAACTGAAGCCTTGACACTGTGGATGCATTTGTGGCAGGTAGAGCTCAAAGGATTGCAACATTGCAGTAGACTGATCTTGAGTTTGGGATTTACAGGTCATAAGGAAAAGAAATTTAAGAAATCACCACATATGGGAAGAAAAGACCAGCTGAAGGAATGACAAGAAGAGCCATGTCTAGGGAAAAAAAAAAAAAAAAAAAAAAAGAATTGCTGACCTGTTGTTTTGGAGCAACTTCTGTGGATGAAGCCACTTCTTAAGAATGAGTTATTTGTGACTGCTCAGTAAGTAGACAAGTTTTGCCTAGGACTGAATGGAGTATCCCCCATCTGCACTACCGTGAATGCTGCTCTTAAGTGAATTGTCAGTTATGAATTATAATAATTCTGGTTAGGAGCAATTGAAATTTGTTTTATGTTGAGCACCTGCAACAATTGACTTCCCCAGATTGCCTATTGACCCACTAATATCTGGAAAAATAATAATAGATGTTTCACTGTCTGACAGATTTTAATATTTGTTTATTCAAACAGAGACCCACCAGGATCAACAAGACTTCTGTCATCCAGACAATGCTGAAATCTAGGTACAATTTTATAGTTACTCATCAGGAAATCAGTATTATACTGCAAACTGCAAATGCTAATAAAATTTATGGAGGGGGCATTTAAAAAAGCATTCACAAAAAAAAAATGTCACTGGTGAACAGTTTTTCCTTTCTCAGTTCCTTTTTAATATTAGTTTCCAAACATCAAGGCTCATCTGGATGAGAACCCAGCAGCATAAGGAACCAGAAGGTAACTCAAGCAAAATTTCTTCTCTTTCAAACAATGCCCCAGAAAGAGATTTACAAAGTAGTTAGGATTGGATCTGTGCACAGGGATGGATGCTAACAGCAGTGAAAACCAATGACTCTACTCTACAGACAGTAGGTCACATTTTCCATTAAATTCAGGTGTTAGAGAACTGAAAGAATATACATTGTAAGGAATGTCATAAAATATCTCTTTAAAAACACAAGCTTTAAGTGACTAGCTCAAATGATGGCATATATGTTTCATTTCTTGTGACTGTAATGAATAAAGTAATAGGTACTCTTAAAAATGAACAGCATTTAATTGTAGGAATAACTGTACATGCTTTGTCTCTGTCATGGAAGAAAGTCTAGCTATCACCTGGCTAATGAAAAAGGATTTGCATAGCCCTACCATAAGCTAATATTTCCATAAATCTCTGTACTCACTATTTTGAATTTTAAATATAACTTTTCATGAGCAAGTTGGATACTTAACAAAATAAAAATGGTTTCCCTGTCTTCAATAATTTCAATACTTGAAATTTCCCCATAAACTTGAAGTCCAGAAAAACTTATATGGCAAAGAAAGTGAAAGAAAAGATGTTTTCTTTTTCCCTTAATGACTGAATGTTATTTATTCTGGGTACTCTAGGAGAGAAAATAAACAAGTTTCTGCATTCAAAATACTGTACATTTACATAAAATGACAATCATTAAGCAGAGTATGCAGCTACACTTGAGGGGAAAAAAAATCCTTTCTAAATGCTGTCATTAATATTTATCTTTGCAACACTGAAGAGGGAAAATCACACCAGCCAGCCTAGCTGAATACTCTTGCATTTACTTGGGCTTCTGAAAAGATGTATGAGCTTACCGCTTCATCACCCATGGCTTCCAGCAGTGCTTCAGCAGAGCTGGTATGGCTGACAGCTGTCATATGGTCCAGCTTCCAGAGCCATGTAACTGCAGACTTTACAGTATGCTCAGACACAGGAGTGCACTTCTGTTGCCACTTCATAAGATCCTGAGCAGCCCTGAAAATGAGATCAACTATAAATCAGAAACAGTGAGAATCATGCTGGCAGAACAAGAGTGGAGCTCTGCTATTGTTACAGTTCTTTTATATTCTTAAATAAGAATTACAATATACCACAGATACTAAATCTAGACTTGCATTAAAGGAAGCAGAGAAAAAATGAATCCATTAGAAAAATACTGTAATTTTATAAGGTCTTTTCTGAGACAACTGTTCCCAAAGTAGGGTCAGAAGAAATAAAGTATTTTAAAAATAAATTCTGATTCAGAACTCTCCTTATCATAAAAACTCAATCAGGTTTTTAAAATATGTGCATGAAAAAGAAAAGTGTCTTCCACAGGTCTCATTCCACTATCTCCATGATCCTTGTGTCAGAGCAGTTTAACTGACACTTTTTGGTAGTACAGCTGATCTTTAGCTAGCCATCAAAAATAAAATTTGTGATGCTAGAGACTTTTTGGTATTTTAATTGACAAAAGACCATAGTCTTAATGGAAGAACAGAAGTACAAAGCCAATGAGCACTTTTGCCTGTGTACTTGTACATAGAAAGGAACTATAAAACCAACTGGTTCTTATATCTGTGACATTTCCATCAAGAACAATTTTGAAGAGTTTCCTGCAAATCTAAAAGACAAATATATTTCCCAAGATTCTTTTAAAGTAGTAATTTATATGCTAGATTGTATTTTGTTTCCTGTCTTGCAAAAACAACAAACTGATTAACATAAGTATTGTTTCAATTTTAACTTGCTTTTTCAGTTAATTTCTAAAGAAAAAGTTCTCTGTTCTCAAAATTTATGGAAGTTATCTGCTTTGGGAAATGTTTTCTTTGGAAAATATCTACTATTGCAACAGGTTGCCCTGAGAAGCTGTGTATTCCCCATCCCTGGAGTGTTCAAGGTTAGGCTGGATGGGGCTTTGAACAACCTGGTCTAGTGGAAGGTGTCCCTGCCTATGGCAGGGGGCTTGGAACTGGACGGTCTATAATGTCCCTTCCAACCCAAATAATTCTGTGATTTTATTACTTTCCTTTCCAAATCTCAGTAGTACCACAACCTAGAGAATTAAGATAGGGCACCTGAATCAAATCTGTAAAACAACGCCTGGGTAAAATAACATTAAGAATCACCATGTAATTGCAAGTTAACATTGTGGAACCCATTTTAAAATTATACAACCTAATTTGTGCATCATTTTTTTCCACTCATCTATCCAAACCCAAGCCTTACGCATTCAAATTCTCATGTATGTATGAGAATTTTTGCAGATAGGTAAAATTTGAATAGCTGCTTCTATTCTTCTAACTAAAAGCAAATTAATTTATTCCTCTTAGAGAACAAGCGCTTGGAAATCTTTTGTTATGGAAATCTACTATTGTTTCCTAGTGCTGCTACTGAGTTCTGTGACCATGGAAATCTATAGAAATACAAATGGCTATGCCTGTGCCTATGGCACTTGGGGGAGTGCACATTTAGCTGCAAGGCAGAAATCTGTAATGTCTAAAGACACAAGAATGCAATAGGTGGTCAGATGGAACCTCACTGTTTCACTAATATTGCAACGTCTGAAGGGCATAACTGCTGTTGCAAATCCTTCTGATTTTGTAGAAGACATCTGTTGGTATTTGGGTTCTGTTACCCTTTATCTGTTCTTCAGGGTAACAGTGGCCTTCTGTCAAACGGAAGTGGCACGTTCAGCATGACTACGGGTGAGAATTGGTGGGAAATCTACAGATATCAGCATTACATGAACCATGACAATTTCCAGTACAGAAAGCGCCTTATCCAAACACGTACAAGATGCAACTCCTTTTTATTCTCAAGCAATGGGCTGACATGGACTTCTTTGTCCAGCCTGGAGAGACCAGACTGTGGCCTTTCAGTACTTGAAGAGACTTAGAAGAAAAATGGGGAGAGTCTTTTTAGTAGGGCCTGCAGCAATACAACAAGGGGTGATGGTTTTAAACTAAAAGAACCTATATTCAGACTAGACAAAAGAAAAAATTTTTTTACAATGAGGGTGCTGAAACACATGAGCAGATTCCCCAGAAAGGTGGGAGATGCCTCACCCGTGGAAACATTCAAGGTCAGGCTGGATGTGGCTTTGAGCAACTTAGTGTAGTGGAAGGTTCTCTGCCCATTTGCAGGCGTGCTGGACCAGATCACCTTTAAAAGTGCCTTCCAACCCAAACCATTCGATGATTCTGATTCTGTCTGCTTACCGAATGAGGTTGAATCTGGAAATTTGTATCACCTGTTCCACAAGTACCATAGAAAGTGCATCTCGACATAGATCAAATTCAGTTGGAGCTGCTGTGCCAAAATCCAACACAATGACAATGCACTGTTCTTGAATCACTCCAAATATCTGCCGGCTCTCACTGGTTAACCATTCCATTCGCTGCTTATAAAGCTCAATAGCTCCAATTAGACAATCCACAAAATGAAGAATCAGTTCTTTTTTGGCTGTCAGCTTTATTCAAATAAGGGAGAGAAGGAAATTGAATATCAAAACAAATAATAAAAATGCAGCCCCAAGCTTAGCACAGCTGCATAGCTAGTTTGTAAGTGTCAGATATGCCAGCTAAGGTAGCAGTGAAAACAACCAATTTTCCCTCCACTGTTTCAAGAGCAAATACTTGACAAATGCATCTAAGCTATAAAGAAAAGGCACTGCATTTTGTCCTAATTGCTTTTCATAATCTTTTTTATGTGAGCATGGGACAGTGCCAGTGGGTTGTCTGACTTGTCTATCTCAAAACTGGAGCAATTAGAATGAGCTGAACACAGGCTAGGATGTAGAAAGGGCTTCAGAGCAGATGGGTGAACAAACAAGGACACAGAAACTTTGTACCTTCTCAGACTAGAACTATGGCTTTAAAAAAAAAATTTACAGCAATACAAGGCAGCATACGGTTTGGTTCTACAGCACTTCAATTTCCACCTTGTCTTTAGCATTTGAAAGGAAAATGTAAAATGTTTCTTGTTTGTACTATTATTTCACTAACAATGCCTAGCATTACAGATTAACTGTTTGTGGGTAGGTGCTTAGGCAAATTTAGTTCAGATAACTGCAATCAATAATTAAAACTTTCCATATCTTGTCAGTAAAGTAAAATCTAGATGCAGTATTAAAATTAAAACCAGCACATCCTCCCTATGAATAAATGTATACACATTCATCATGACCAGTAGGTGTAAAAATCCACCAGATTCCCCCAATATCTCTGGCCCATGTGAGCTGATTTACTGGTTGCCTTCAACCTCTAACATCCTCTCCAAGACTAACTACGAAACCTTGGAAATATAAATAACAAGAACATTTAAACAAGAACATTTCTCAAGGAGAAGATATTTTGTGTGTCAGTCTGCACACTTCTCCCTCTCATTTGTATTTTTCTGTGTTCTTTAATATCAGCTTGGGCCCTGTAATGTACCTCCCACATACAGAGTCTCAGGCAGTCTGCCAAAGGAATGTCGGCCTGGGAAGGAGCACTTAGAAATCCAGTTTCCTCCTATGACAGTCATATTCATAAAAATGAGTTTATTGCACTACACCAACCAAACTCCATCTTAAAATAAAGCACTTTTCTTAGAATACTCCCTTCACGTGTAGTAAGAAAGTGTAAATTTCCATTTCTCTGAGGGCCAGAAAACTTCTGACTGTGCAGCCTAATTTTTTTCATTCAGCTCATACCCATTTATTTTTGACCTAGCATGCCTTTTAGCAGAGAAAACTACAGCTTCTCCCTATCCCTGTAATTTGCCTTTCTGGAGCATTCAAGGGCAATAATACTACTCTTCTTCTGTCTTCTTTCAGGCTTACATTTCAGCATCAACCAAGCCCTCTTACAAGATCATCACTCAACTGCACTTCATCCTACCAGCCCTTCTCAGTACCTGCTCTGGTTTGAACAGCTTCGTCCAAGCCTGTAGTAACTGTATACAATATGGTATTCAATATCCTAAAGGACATCTAACTAGATTTTTTATAGTAGCAAAAATGCCTTTTCTGCTGCTCACAACGTGTCCTAAGATTAAAAGACATTTATGTAGATATTTCATTTTGAATTAATGGGAATAAAATGAGGGGGAAAGCCTCCCTGAAATGGTTCTTTGCCCATTTTTAAGCTTTGTACCATCAGAAGTGACTCCAGTCATCAGAAAAAATGACAAGCCATTTGCTTTTGTAAAATCCTTTATAAATTAACTCTCTCCCTTCCACACTCACATGCACATCTCTTCAATCTGAATCCGGTCCTCTTAACAATGGGGCTGCCAGCAGCTGTTGCTAAGACATTCCTTAGAACATGAGCCTGGGCAGAGATCCAGCTAGCTGTCTTTACAGAATAGGCTGAGCCTTTTGTGACCTGCTGGCACTAAGCAAAGCACTGCTTTGCATTGGCAACGACAGCGCATTATGTCTTCTTATTTCAGCGTCCCCATTTGTTTTATTGATTACAATTTTATTTTTTTTAACTGGTTCTGAGCATCTTCTCTTTAACGGTTCCCTCTTTCAAGACAGGGTAGATGTTGCTTAGAAACTGCAATCTTGTCTGGAAAAGATTTACTGCAATGCTGCACCAAGGCAAGAGACTAAGACTTAGAAAGGAAAAAAGATATCTAGCTTTTCTACCACTGATAGTTAGCATTAACAGTTGACAAAACAGAAGGAAAAAATATCGAAAGATGAAAGTTCTCACAAAGAATATAAGTATTTTATGCCATAGGAAGGATTTTAGTCTCATCATTCTGCTACAGTGATAATAACTTCTAAGCGCATAGGGAAGTTAGCACGTCAGCCACACTTACATTATACACGCTGCCATCTTGTGCTCTCTCGTATTGAGGAAACAGACCATCTGCATATTGAGAAGCCACAGGTTTCCCCAAGGTGGTCACATAATCTACATAAAATTTACAAAAGATCAAGTTGCTAATCTTTGGGACTACTTCAAACAGGTATTTTTCAGGTTGATGTGTATGTCATACATGTGCAGGCACATGTATCAATATTGAGTTATTGACACTAAGAAACTCGAGAGAAATTCTAATTCAGTTTTTGTTTTATTTTCTGTTTTTATTTTATTTTGTTTTGGTTTGTTTTTATTTTATTATGTATGATGGGGCCCTGAGGCTCTCAGCCTCTGGCTGCATCTCCTGTTGTCCTTGGCTGCATTTCCTGGCTGGACCCTAAACCTGGTTAATTACCTCGCCCTGCTGCAGGATCCTGTTTAGTGAGGGCACTGCCTAGGCTGCAGTCCCTTTTGGGTAGTGGTTTCCTCCCATAGAGTCGCTCTGCTTTTGCTGCTTCCTCCCAGTTTAGTCAGAAGTGAGGAAAAATCCCACATCTAATTACTTATAGGCCAAAAAGCTACATGGGACTTTAATTATTGTGAGGTTTGGGCAACCTCACAACAGGACTTGCAAATATTTGTCTGTCAAACCAAATACAAAATCTGGTACAGATAATGCTGTTCTCTTACACAACTCAATGGGTGCAGAAGTGAGTGCATCTAAGGAAAAGGCTGCACTATGCACTTTCAGTAGCTAGAATCTTCTCCAGGATCTCCATTGATAGGAAAACATTAGGGGTGGGAAGACTTAACGTCATAAAGTAGCTATCTGTACACCATGCTGCCCTTCCAAGCTAGTACATTCTGCTCCTAACCCTGCTTAACAGCTTCTTCTTCATCTGCAGCATACATAATATCAGGAATTGCACTGGTGATCTTTGAATGCCCCATGGACACAAGCCAGCCAAAACCTTAAATTATGCAACTTAGAACTATTGCAATACATTACAATTCCTACTTCTCAGGCAGCAAGCTGTTAAAAGAAAAGAATATATTACCATGCTCTGCAAAGCACCATTATGGCAGTGGTTAATAATTATTAGCAAACTCTTCCCCTCCAGCTGTCAGATAACTGCATTGAAACATTTTTTTTATAGTCTGCCTTTGCATGAAAAGCAGACTGAATTTTAATTAAATTTAACTTTTTCCTTAAAGCTGGATACCTGGAAATAATACGCTATTCCCAATCACATTCACTAACCCTCATGATCAATAGTAGATCACAGATTATGGCATGGCATACATTTGCCATGTGAAAGGAGACACAGATCTTATTGTGTGTTATGTGCAAGAAAAAGATTAAGAGTCCCAGCTATTTCCCAGCTACAGCTATACTGGTGAGGATGTGAAGTGCAGCCTAGGGTAAAGAAACAGTACAGCTGAGTAAGGAAAGCCATTCTCAGACCCTAAGTCCTTCTCATATCAAAAGGAGAAGGAGTTTCTCAGTTCTCTGAACTGGCAATGTCAGCAACTGTGGATACAGCTTCCCTTTCTGCCATTATCATAAGAGACAATGTGGAAATCTCCACGGTGTACATTGGGGTGCAGAATGAGTGTGACCCTCCAGACTATTCAAAGTTAGGGGATTTATTATCCTATTTTTGATTTGTCTTATACCTTTCCTGTGCTGGAATCCAATCTGGGACAAAATCTGGGACAGGGATAATTTGTTTCTTTTGAGACCATAACGCTGAAGCCATTTAGAAGATGAAACAAGGGACTGTACATCTGTTCTCCACTGACCAACCACCAGTCTCCTTTTCTCTCTTGATTTCTTCTTGTGGACCTTGTGGGAATCTTCAGGATCTTGTCTGTGCTTTGAATCAAAGGCATCTACTGTAAAGAGAAATGAGGGAAACACTACATTTATATTTCAACCAAACAATTTCAAAACGAAATGAGATTAATTTATTGTTTCTTTACCTGCATTCCTTCCTTTCTTTACCTGTATTCCATGGTGCTGTATATATGCATAGCTCACCTCTTGTTTTCTTTATTTTATACTGAATAAGGTCCTTAATCTGGAAAGCTGCTCTCAGTCCTACACATCCACTTGCTGTTACATCTATTCATCCGTATACATTCACCTTCAATTTATTAAAGAAAATGTCTCTCGTATGCTGAAATTCAAGCCCTGAAATATAAGTCCGGTTTGCTAAATGGCACTTCTTCCAACTCCTAAGACATCTCTCCTAAGTCTTGGAAATCAGAACACATAATAGGCATTCAAAGATTGTCAGACCATCACTACACACACATTAGAAGCAGTATGCAATAAACAAGTATTTCCTAAAAATTATATGTTGAACTCCTACCATAAGCAATAGTACTGTCCCCAGAAGAACCTGATTTTATTGCAAGGCTGGTGAAATTCCCTCCGGTCACATCACTTGCCTCAAGTTTAAATGATGATTCTGTCAGTTTCTGCTCTGGGCTGTGATGGATCATGTGCATGCACAAGAAATCATGGACATGAAGATCCAGGTTCCTTTTAAGTTCCACAGGACATGGAATACACCTGACCATGGCAGTATGGTTTGCTAGGCTAGCTCCACTTGCACTTGGCAGCAGCAGCAGCTCAGACTCCAGAGTGCTGAGGCAGAAATGGAAGCAATGACAACAATAATGCCTCTGTTCCTGAGCACAGAGGTTCTAGGAGGACTTTGGTATTTCCTGTTCATTCCCAAAATACTCTGCATGAGCTAAGCTGGCTCTAGTTGATTAAATACCCTTGCTGTATCCAAGTTTACTTTCTGTGGACTTTGGAAATTTCTGTACATTTTCCCCAGTACCAACATCATCTGCTGCGTCCCAGTCCTCCATTGCCCATATACCGTAAACTACTCGTAAATGTACTGCATGTATCAAACTGGCCCAAAATACAAAGGAAGGTACTTCTGTCTCTAATGCCTCCAAAATAACCTTCAGTCTAGTATGGAATATGATCGGAACTCCCTGATAAATTCAAGTATTATAACAACCAACCTGGTTCCAAAGGTTCATTAGATAGAGAGTTCCGCAGTTAACACTACATAAAGGAAATGAGACTCTTATCTTCAGAAATCATCTTTCAGTGACAGAGGGCTTCTATAAAGTGTAGACTGGCCTGGGTTCTTTCACAGTCATCAGTCCTACAAGCAGGATGCTGGGCTGGCATGCCTGTAAAGGCTGGCATTTTAGCAGCTTTCCTTTGCTCTGTGCAGAAGCAGCAGTGACAGATGTTAACTCTAGAGAAAGGCAAGTGAACGTTTGCAGCTGCTCAAGCTTTGAATACAGTCAGGCATTGTTTATAGTCACTTGAACAGTCATTCTCAGTTTCCTTCCCCCAAATACATAAAGGCCAGCACAGCACCCCATATACAGCCCAGGTGAGAGTGGCACAGCTTCAGAATGGCTTGTACACAGCCAGCATGCACACCACAGTACTCCAAAGGAAACTGGAAGCTATCTAGGAGAACATGGAATCTATGCAAAAATAGTGATGAAATACTCACAGTCACTCCAGGCAAGTCTCTTAGATGGATTAGCAGTCATGATGGATCTCTTGACTGGCAGCTCCTCTTCACTTTATTCTGAAACCCTGAGGAACCATTGTTTTAAAAAAATTAAAATATTGCCATGCACAGGTCAATATGAACTGGAGACCAGCTCCACATGCCCAGACAATAATAAACTGCAGAGAGGTGAGATCGGATTTTCTGCAAGCAAAAAAATATTATAAAGTAAAAACGATAGCTACTCCCCATCTTAAGAAAGGCTGAAGTCAGATCTGACAGGGATCTACAAGCTCAAAAGTGGGAAATTAGGAAATTGGTAATATTGTTTCCCTTCCTTCACTCCAAATTATTATTAAAAAGAGCCAGTATGCTAGAAAAATGAGCATGATGCTTTGGCATGCTGTTAACCAGCCGTATCATATTCTATTATTGCTTTGCAGTATATCTTACCTTCGCTATAATCCAATTTATGACTAAACCTGGGAGTATCTGAGATGCAACTTTATGCAGAGATTCATAACTTTGCCTATAAGACTACAAGATAAGTCACAAAGAAAAGGAATTATGTGTGTGAATGTGGTATAAGGCCCAAGTGCATCTAAGACACAGCAGATAAACAGAAGACAAAATGTCAGACAAAGTAAGGTAGCATACAGTGGGTGAGTGTATTGCTTTGAGACATTGATGCTTTGTTTTTTCTTTTAATAATAAGTAAGATGGATGAATGAGGGATGTTTACGAATCACTAGCAGGCCAGCTGTTAGCCATTGTCATCAAGCAGTTTTTCCCACTGTAAAAGCAAAAAAAGGATAAAATATTTAACCCAAAGACTTGGCCTTCTCCCTCTTTCTTCACTGCAGAATGGAACATGCTATTTTTTCCTCTTATAGGTTTAAACACCCATATGGAAACATATAAACCATTCCAGTCTTTGTCCTGTTCACGAAGAAAGACATGAACAGTGTGAAGGGCAGGGAGGACTTATAAAAAGCAGGACTCTGTTCTGTACCCTAACACCTTGGGTGCTGTGCAGCACAACCCCTGACTAGTCTTGGCATCAGGGCATTAAAAGGAAGCCCTTGCCACAGGGGAGCTGTGGCAGAAAATGCCTATAGTGAAAGGCCACAGCAAGCCACAAGGCTTGTGCCATTTTTCTCTCAGAATGCAGAAAAAGTCTCATGGTAATAGCTAAGACACATTTCAGTCAGCAGCATGCATTAGAGAATGAATCCCCGGTGATGTCTCTTTTTCCAGATGCCCAGAGGTATGGCAACAAATTTTCTCTTGCCTTAGCCTCCAGCACCACCCCTAGTTGCTTGAACAACACCTGGACATGAAATGCTAGCTCTGTATGAAAAGGAGCATTTGAAAGCAGATGAAGCATCTTCCAATGGAAACGGTGAGTTCTACATCAGGCCTTGGAAACAGTGAGCTCAAAACCAATGATAGCTGGGATAACTTTCAGCCCAAGATCTGAATCAAAACAGGTTATTTTCAAAAGGTGAACCAGAGTTCATCTGGGCACTTCTACTCTTTTGGTCTGGCCAGTGCAAAAAAACTGCTAAAGCCATAACCCAGCACTGGCTCGGAGTGTGTAACATGTGCAGGTGGCACTGCTGCTGAGGCCACTCCACTGGGCTGCCCCTGACAGGCAGGAATGCCTCGGGAAAGCCCACACACCTTACAGCCCAAGAAGCTGCCCCACAGCACCTGAAGTGCTGAACCCCAGTTAAAGGGAGTGCAGAGGGCTGAGGCTGGTGGCTGCCCACTGAAGAAATTGAATCATGGAATCATGGAATGGGTCAGGTCAGAAGAGACCACAGTGGGTCATCCGGTCCAATCTCTGCTCAAGCGGGGTTACCCTAGAGCACACAGCACAGGATTGTGTCCAGGATGTTCTTTAATATCTCCAGGGAGGGAGACTACACAACCTTTCTGGACGATCTGTTCCAGTGCTCGGTCACCCCCACAGTAAGGAAGTTATTTCTCTTATTCAGGTGGAATTTCCCGTGCATCAGTTTCTGCCCCTTGCCTCCATCCTGAGGATTGGCACCACTGAGAACAGCCTGGCTCCCTCCTCTTGGCACACATCCCCTCCGCCCTCCTCCCTTTATATATTTACACACTTATGGGAACCCTTCTCAAACATGGAAGAGGTGTCACAGCAAAACCACAGCGGAGCCTGAGGAAGAGGAGAAGAGCGAGACAAGGGCCAGGGCGAGTCCCGGCCATGGCTTTCCCCGGCGCTGCGCCCTCGCAGCGGCCACCTGAGGCCGCGTCCCCGTATACACTGCATGGCAACGGGCAGAGATGGGAAGCCAGGGCCTCCGGGGTGAAGGACCTCGGCTGGCGGCACATCCCTGCGCCAGCGCCGGGCCCGCCTGCCTCTGCCCTGCGGCGGGACCGCGGCCGCCGCCTGCGCCGCCTCCTCTCCTCCCCCAGAGCGGTGGCGCCCGCCCGGCCGCCCTGCGCCTTCACCTGCCTGCAGCCGCGGCGCCACCGCCTCCCTCCCGGCCGCCCTGAGCCCTCACCTGCCTGCAGCCGAGGCGCCACCGCCGCCCGCCCTGCACCCTGCGCCCTCACCTGCCTGCAGCCGCGGCCACCCCGCCGCCCGCCCTCCCACTGTGAGCCTGGAGACCGAGACCGCGCGGTTGCTACGGCACGGGCCGGCCTCACCCTGCGCAGCGAGCGGCATGAGGGACGGCGCGAGGGCCGAGCTGCCCGAGGCCCAGCGGGACGGGCATGGCACGGCACAGGCACAGGTACAGGCACGGGCACGGGCACGGGCACGGGCACGGGCACGGGCACGGCACAGGCACAGGCACAGGCACGGGTGGCTCCGGGGCCGCTGTCCCTGACCGTGCCGCTGTCCTTGCCCCTGCCACCGCCCCCACCCTGCCCCTTCCCCCGCCACTGTTGCCGCGGAGAGACCGATGCGCAATAAATTCGATGCGCAATAAATTCATCCTCAACAGGCGCCGGCACAACGCAGTACATTCATTCCCTGGGGAGCCAGAAATACACGGGCCAACTTGGAGAGTTACAGAAATCTATATATAGAGGATTCGAGCCTTCTGGTCTCGTTAATTCTTAATTTAGGCTAAGCCGTTGACAATATTTATAACAAGAGCAGCCACGCATGTCCTTTATTTAAGTCAGACGAGCAGTATTACACTGGCTGGGGAGTTGCTGTGCTCAGACAATCATAAAATGAGTCAGATTGGAAGGAACCACAGTGGGTCATCTGGTCCAACCTCCTCAAGCAGAGTCAGCACATTGCACAGGATTGTGTCCGGATGGTTCTTGAATATCTCCAGGGATGGAGACTCCACAACCCTTCTGGACAATCTGTTCCAGTGCTTGGTCACCCTCACAGTAAAGAAGTTCTTCCTCATATTCAGATAGAACTTCCTGCGCATCATTTTCTGCCCCTTGCCTCGTGTCCTGGTGATTGGCACCACTGAGAAGAGCCTGGCTTCCTCCTCTTGGCATCCCCCCTTTAGATAATTATATGCACTAATGAGGTCCCTCTTCAGTGATCTCTTTTCAAGGCTGAACAGGCCCAGCTCCTTCTCTCTTCTCCTGGAGAAGCCAAAATAAAAACTATTCTAGTGCAATAAAATATACAAAAATATGTGCACCATAAACCTGAACTTGGTATTTAAAAGCTCATGTTGATGTAAAATAACCAGAAGCCCAGGTCTTTATTTGCAGTATTTGGTCTGTAAATGTTTGTAAGGTGAGAGACAGATAGGGCTGAGATTTGCGCTTTACCTGATTTGCTCTGGTTTACTGTGCAATCACAGAGTAATAAAAGATCTGTCACTTTATAGGATCAATGAATCAGTTTTATCTCCATGTTGATGTTCAGATGGAAACACGCACCCACAGGCCATCCTGCAGCACGCCAAAGCATTGGCTTCAACTCTCCAGGATTGATAAACAGTGACAGGCAAGAGAAGTTCCTTATAAGGCATGTGGTTGGGATGGGCACATGACTTTCTGGAGCTCCAGTTTCTCATACAGTTGGAACCAAGAGTTTAAAGACTAGCCTAGGCATGGCAAATGATTCAAGCTTGCACAACTCTTCCCCTGAGGTATACAAAAGGCATTTATTTCTCAGGCATGAAACAGTTTCCCATCATATCATTAAAAATAGTAGGTACTGAATGTTCTCAGGATCCTTTCAGACACCATGACTGCCATAGCACAGGCTTCTGTACAGACCCATATTTTTGGGGAAAGGCTTAAGAAGTTTCTCTTGAAAGTAAGTGTAATGGATTTTTCAGTGAGTGCCCAAAAATCAAACTAGTCAATCTCTTGTTTTGTTATGCTGTTTCCAGTGAAAATTTTTAACCAACACTCAATATGTCTCACTCAGGTAATTTTTTATGCACTATACAGAAAAGCTCCATCCATTGTCATGCATAAATGTCTGTAAATGTAGTAACTACAAAGTTTTTTTTAAAGCTATTATATGTGCTGAAACTTTCTCTGCTTAGAGTGTGCCAGAAACCTTCACTGGAGGCTTGGCTGTGCTAAACAAAATATGTTGCAAGAAAACATTTCTTAAAATGCTTTGAACTTCAGGGCTTATAGAACTGCCTGACAAGCCCAGGGGCAAAGGCTGACAAATGCAAAGCTACTTCCGGCTCCCACGGGCTTTGTAATCAACTGGCTGTTGTCTCTTAGGTAAAATTCTTAGGAAAATAAAATGCTCTCTGCACATCCCATAAACATTGTCCATGTGGAATCCCTGCCTTGGCAATTGTCACCTCTACAACTTGTGAAATGAGGAATGTACTCTACAGACGATGCCCGCTGAATAAGGCAATGCTGAATAGCAAAGGAGGTAGGGGATCCAAGTGACTTGGAAGTGGGAATTGACTCCTTGTCAATTGGGATGATAAAATTAAATCTGGAGCCATTCTGTCATCTGACCTTTAGGCTGAATGACAAAGCGATTTTGACGGGTGGAAACATGTTATTATGTCATCGTAACATGCATCCTGAGATTGCATAAGCAAGCATGACTTCATTCTGACTCAAGTACTTCACCTATCAGTAAATATATTTGATCAGTTTTTCATATAGATAAAAACAGAATTCTCAGCATTTTCCCTCAGCATTGGTGCTTAGAATAGTATACTGTTGGCTTTTCAACCAAAATAAAGACGTAATCCACGCTTCTTTTGTCTTTCATCTAAAAAAGCCCCAACTCTTTAACATAATCTTATTTCTTTTAGATAACTAAAACCACATTTAACATAATTTCTTTATCCATGCAAAGCAGTGTATATGGTGCATCTAATCTAACTGCTTATGTATTAAGAAGGAGATTTTCTCTCATGGATCAGTAGGCAAGGATATTCATGGCACTGATGCTTATGGCTATGATAGTACAAAGAATGAAGCTTCACCAGGAAGTTTAATGCTGTCACACATCCTTCCCCAGTGTCATGCTTCCTGTTGACTCCCTTTCAAATAGAAACAGGAATCAGTTGCAAGGGGTAAGGAAAAGAACAAAAACAAGCCGGTCTGAACCTGGGTTAATGCTGTCCTTACACACTGTGATTGTCTTAAAAAAAACCTAAAAACAGTCAATCAGCACAGAATATATAAAGCATAAAAATATCATCAAATAAGTAAAATGCTCCTTTCAAGTATATCTTGTTCTCACCCTTCAAGAACCTCCTAAAACTTTCTAAAAAAATTATTCGGAGTATCTAAAAG